GACTCCCGTCTGTTTCTCTTCCTCAGGAGCAAGAGCAGCTCTACCTGAGGTCAGGTGTGGTGTCCTCCGCCACCTTCGAGCAGCCGAGTCGGCAGGTGAAGCTGTGGGTGAAGATGGTGACTCCGCTGATCAAGAACTTCTTCTGAGGACAGACAGGTGCCGACTCGAGTGCCGCCCAGCCCAGTTTTCCCTGAACTTCACTAGCAGGGTGGTGGTTTCCGCCTCAGCTGGGGTTCCTGGGCCTCTTGCAGGAACCCTGGGGCTCTTTTGTTCTGTCATTGGTTATGTCCTGAGTGGTGTGTATCTCAGGTCATGGAGGGTTATCATCAAAGTTTTTGAAACCTAATGCTAAATTAGACAGCTCTTTCACCTTCCTTCGGGTGCTGACTCTCCATGAGTCCCAGGACTGGCTGTGGTGGGGTCAGTGCATGGAGTGCTCTCTGGCCTGGGGCGAGGGCCTAGTGATGAGGGGGCACACAGGTAGATCCTGCGCTCCCCTCCTCAAGGCTGAGGACATCTAGAAGGCAGTAGGAGTGGGCGGAGGAGGCGCTCTTGTTTGGGAGAGCAGGTCTGGCTTGCTGCCCTGGCCAGCTGTGCTTGCTGGGATGAGATAGCCAGACCTTGGTGCTGCGGCGGCCGCTCCCTGACGTTTCTGTGACGTGCACTTGTGGAGTTGCCATGTTCTCCGTGCTGGCAGCTGGTAACAGGTCATGCTCTGCCCACGCAGAAGGAGGCTGCCATTAGTGGTGGAGGCGGCCACTTCGCCCAGAGCTGCCGGCTGTGTCCCACAGTGGGACGTGAGTATGCCTGAGGACGCCAGGAGGCCGGGCAGGTTGCAGCAGCCATTAGAGATGGGGTCTCTCCTGAGCGACCCTCTGTGTTCAGATCTCTTCAGACCCTGACCCTCACTCCCAGATGGGATCAGTGTTCTGGGGCACTCTGGGTGGGGATGTTCTAGGCCGTTCTGGGCCAGGCTCTGCTAGTCCAGCCCACACTGGGAGGTGGAGATGGGAATGGTTGGGCCTTTGGCTTGCGGGGAAGGGAGAGTGAGGAGGAGTCACAGACAAGAGTGAAGGCACGTGTGGCCGGCATGTTTTCAGCTTTGGCCCTACGCTGGTGCCATGGGTTTCCTTGGCTCCTGGTACCATGGTTCTCTCAACCTCATTTTTTTTTTTTTAAAGATTTTATTTATTTTATTTTTCCCCCCAAAGCCCCAGTGGATAGTTGTATGTCGTAGCTGCACATCCTTCTAGTTGCTGTATGCGGGACTCGGCCTCAGGATGAACGGAGAAGTGGTGCCTCGATGCGCACCCGGGATCCGAACCCGGGCCACCAGCATCGCAGCGCGCGCACTTAACCACCAAGCCACAGGGCCGGCCCTCATTTTTTTTTTTAATGGTATTTTTTTTCATCATTTAGTTTTTCTCCAGTATTTTAATTACTTTTACTCTAAATTTATACATTTTTTTTTTTAAAATACTAAAAGACCAACAAAATACAGTTGTTTCCTGCCCTCCTTTCCCCCAAAGCAGCCACTTTTGACTCTTTTATCTGTTTCTTCTGATAGTTACACAGGTCTGTATTTCTAAAAATATGCATATATTGCTGTTTTCCCTCTAAAATATAAAGACTCTTAAACCAAAAAAACCCCTAAAACGTTATACCAGTGTTACACCTGATTAAAACATTAGCAAGAATTCCTTAATATCATCAAGTACTCAGAAGGTGTTCACAATTCCAGTTGCCTTATAAATATTTTTTATTTCATTTTAATTTTTCGATACGTTTATTTGACTTGAGGTTCCAAATAAGGTCTACACCTTGTGATTGAGTGATGTGTCACCTAAGTGTCTTTTAATCTGGGTTTCTTCATTCTTTCCCCTTGCAATTTATTTGTTGAAAAATGAGGCTCATTTTTATTAGATCTACTTAAAACATTTTTGTGTCACTTTCTCACAGTGGGACATCTTCAGAAAACCTCATGTGTATTTATAAAAGGCCAGGGTGCCCCCCCCCCCCCATGTTCCATGAGCAGATTTCAAAACCTCTCTGCCCAATCTCTACATCTTCAGGTGCTTGAACCTTGCACACAGAAAGGCCTTCCAGAGAGAAAGCCTCGGCCCCAGGGCGTGGCAGCCCATCCTTTCTGAGTGAGATTAGATCCCATCCCTGCATGTTGCCTCTGGAAGCAGCCTCACGTGTCTTCCTCCGAGGGCTGGTGGCTCAGTCACCTTCCTGGGTTCTAGAAGGCCGTGGCTGGCCTAGCCCGCACAGCCTTGCTGTGTGTGGCCAAGAGTGCCTGCAGCCCCTCTCCCCAGAGCCAGGTAGATCTGCAGGTTTTAGGGAATCGGGTGGAGTGGGGCCACAGCCACACTGCCCTGCGGCTACATCAGTTAACACTGTTTGCCTGCAAAGTAGTGATTAAATTGTCCTGTGGGACAGTTAGACCAGAGAAGCCAAAAGATTGTGCTGGGGCACTGGGTTTCTGTTTGGAGAGAGGTTTTCGGTAAACAGCATTTGCATTCCTACAGATTCTGTGGCACCAGAGGCAACGTTGTGCCACAGCTGGCTTGAGCAATCTGTGGCCTTTTCCCTCCACGCTTGGCTGCTCCCTTTGTCTCTGCTAATTACCTTCAAGACAGTCCTGGCAGGTTCTCCCACCCAGGAGCACTCCCCAAACCAAGGCTCCCCACTCCTCCAGTCAGCCAGGAGTCAGAGAGGAGATACAGAGAGGGCTGCTCCAGGCCTTAGCACTTTCAGCTGCAAAGCGGATTTTGTCCCAACCCCTGTTTTCCCTTCACTGGTTTGCAACCCAAAGGTGAATCATCTCTTGGAAAGTTTGGATATAATTTTGTCAGCTACCCACAATATGTACGTGTGGAATAAATTACTGTTTTATTTTAGGCTCTAAAGGCAAAATTGGAAAACCTTCCTATTTTGTGGTTATTACCAGGGATTGAAAATGAGTTGCCTGGTGGCCACTGGCAGTTTTATCTCCTCTCAGAGCAGTGGCTCTCCTGTCCCTCCAGCCTGGACATGAAGGGCTGCAGTGACCCCTCCTGGCCAGCAGAGGTGGTTGCCTGGCAGCCGGGCTCATTGGCCAAAACTCCTGCCTTCCTCACCAGAGCCCCAAACGGGTTGGATTCTCCCAGCCCCAGGGATGGAGGACTTGAGGGATGGTTTTCCTTCTCCCTCTTAGCCCCACCGGGCCCCAGGATTGTTGTCAATTATCGGCCTCAGAATCAGGGTTTCCAGGACCTCTTCTTCACCCATGGTTTGGGTGAGAATACTCGGAGAAAAAAGTTTTCACAAAACTTCAGGATCAAGTTGAACTTAGAACAAGTCCAGATATTCGTAGGGAGCTCCCTTTACTCTGCTTTTAAGCCTAAAAGTATGGAGAGTGCCAGCCTGTGGGCCTCTCTGGAGGCTGTCTTTATCTGGAGTTTGTGGGCCCTACTAGCTATCTTCCCTGTGTCCCCAGGTTTCCAGTTCATCGTCTCCCCTTCTCTGCATCCTACTACCTAACCCGCCCAGAATGGCAGCCCAGGCCCTTCGCTGGAATGTCCTGCATCGGCATAGCCGTGGAGAGTCAGGCAGGCCTGAGGCTCACTGGTCTCACTTCTGCGGAGATTGTTCTGATTGCAGTTAGAAACACTGTCTACCAGTCAGGTGGGGGGCCCGAGCTCTCAGCCAGGTCAGTCCCAGGGCAGCCCTGGGCCCAGCACCACAGCAGATGCCAGTTCCCCTTGGGGCAGGAGCCCACGGAGTGAGGGACGGCCAGGTGGCTACCTCTCACCCCTCCCCACTGGCTCGTGAGCAGGCTGCTGCTGGCCACCTTGTGCAGGAAGCTGTGTGTGCTTGTGGACTGCCTTTCCTTGTAAGGGCACAGTTGTTTTGCTTAGCCCCGTCTCCCTGGATAGGTACAGAGGCCTGGAACACAGAGAGGCTGAGGGACTTGTCCACAGGAGCAGGGAGCTCGGCCTTCCTTATCCCACTGTACTGCTTGCTCCCTGGATTGCAGTTCACTGCAGAGAAGCCTGGCTTGTTTGGAAGTCAGGATTTCTTGGCTGCTGAGGGCATCCCTCTACTGTTATATGGGGCACACCCTTCTGACTAGCCCTGACCACTCTCCCCTGCTCGCCCCAGGCCGCAAGTTAGGTTGCTGGAGGCAGACACCACCCAGTGCGGGCAGTGAAAGCTGATGGTGGGGAGAGGGGAAGGAGAGGAAAGAAGATGAAAATGCTTCCCAGTAGTAAAAAGGGGCTCATGGACTTGAGCGATTTAGTGTGGAAATCAGAAACCTGTGACCTCCCAGGACACGCACACACGTTTATGGTGGTCCCTGAATCCGTGTTCATTATGTCCTGTTCCCAGCCGTTTCAGAAGGTGGGCAGTCGATGGGGAAGCATGTCACCTATGTGCAGATGGCACCTCTGTGGAATGGTTTGTTCTTCAGGATTCCAGGAGCGGGGAGGAGGCATTCCCATCACTGGGAAAGATTCTCTCACCCTTGAGAGAAGGGAAGATGCTGTGGGGGACTGTGTGTCTGGTGGCAGCTCCTGTTTGCAGGAGTGCCCGGGCCACTCATCGGCGGGTCGTTGGCATGTGGCGTCAGGCTGAAGGGTGTGACGCCGTGCCCTCATCCCACATACTGCTTGTGGGAAAAAGTAAACCCCGCTGACCCCTCTGGGACATCAGGATTTGGGGTTTGGTTCCTGGGGTGCTTGTCCCGGCTGCTGAGAATCAAGCCCTTACCCGTAAGCCTGTGCCAGGCCCCTGGTGGCCATCAGGCACCAAGCTGAAGGTCGGTGGAAGGGAATCAGACGGGCACATCTATCTAAGTGACTACACTGTTTTAATCCAGTCCACACCCCTCTTCCAGGCTGCCCTCCACCCTCTGGCTAGTCCAGATGTGCACCGTTATAAAGTGCTTTGATTATGCAGGAGAAGCAAAAGCAACCGTGAGTTCCTGTAAAAATAAGTAATAGTTGCAAAGCTGAGTTTCTAATTGTAAACTGGAAGTTGTGGTTGGGATCTGGCCCAGGGGAGCGTGGGCCTTGGGGCAGGACCCAGGGAGCGAGCTAGACCTGTAAGAGCAGCGCCACAGCTGCCAGGATCCACTTTGCTGCCTTCTCCTTGGTCTTCAGGTTAAAGGTCCAGACGTAGGTGGGGCCTCGGATGCGTGTTTTGTACACGGGACACTCATATATGTTCTTGGTTTCCATGCGGTCCACAGGAATGGCCTTGATGAAGATGACAGGCATGGCTGGCGTCAGCTCCTTTAGCCGAGCTTCAGCAATGACTCCGGTCTGGATGTCCCAGCGAGCTCCTACAGGGACAGCATGGCCGAGGGTCAGGGTGGCCTCTGGTGAGGCGACTGGTTCCTGTCTGGTGTGCTGGCAGTGAGGGAGGGGAGGGGCTGGAAGGGAGAGGGCCTGGCCTTGCACCCCCCACCTCTGCAGAGATAGGCTAGTGCCTTTGTGACACCGGCGTGGCTCCCCTACAAAGAGCTCAGGCCAGGTGCTCCACAACAGTGGAGTTGTATCCAGGACTCCATAGGTGATTATGTGCACGTTGTGACTTGCCGCGTATCTCGCTGCACACCGACGAACAGCTTTGCACTAAAGCTCCTGGTCCCATCGTTTACATCTGGGGTGTTTTCAGAGGCTCATCTGTCAGCCTTCTTAATTTCAGTGGCAGGAAATCATAACTCCAGCTAACAGTTGTAGGAGAGTCCCTTCGTATGGAATGTCTAAACTATGTGTACATATACAGTATAAATAATTATGCATATATATATGCACATAGAACTGTTATTTGCCTTTAGCCAGACTGCTAGTATTTCTACTCACCCTATTTAATGATATTTATATTTCCTGTCTGTAATTCCAAAATAAACGTGGAGAATGGCTGCCGCTGTGCTTGTCTTTGGTGATGTGGGAACTGGGGAGCCTTGAGCCTTTGCTGACCAAGCCCTGACACCCCCACCGGTCAGGGTGACGGCCAGTGCTGAGTAGGACAGAGGTGTGTGGTGGAATAGCTGGCGCTCAGCTCAGAGTGGGTCTGAGGAAATGGTCCTGTCTGGCCTCCGCCCGGCGCAGGACAGGCCTGATGTGGGAGGGGATAGAACGAGTGCCGGCCTCTCTCCCTTCTGCTGCTAGGTCCTGGCCACGTGGAGGGCGGGACTCGTACAGGAGCATGGGCAGAGGTGGGCTCCTTGACCTTCACCCCTCACCCACAAAATGGCCATCTAACCTGGGCTCCCTGCTCCAAGGCCCAGGAGTGCTGAGTTCCTCGTTCCCTCGAAACAGGCGCTCACATTTGAGGATAAGACTGCCATTTTCAGTAAAGCACAGTCCAGGCTCATTACCTGGAGTGGCATGTTTTTGGTCTCCTCCAGACCTCTGTCTGAGCACATTCTCAGAATTATGTCACCCGTCTCACAGGCCCCCTCTGAGCGCCTCTCTCCCATCCTACCCCTTACAGTGCGCACACAGCCTGTCCTTGCCAAGGGTTAGTTTCTCTCCTCCAGCCAAGCAGGACTGGGTCTGGAAGCTTCCGCAGACCAGCCCCCTTGTTACCTTCCATAAAGAGCCCGTACACGTAGGAGCCCTCTCGTGGGGGAGCAGTCATGTCCTCCCGGTTCTTCTTGGTCACTTCTACAGACAGACACATCTTGTCCAGCGGCCACTCGTTCTTCCTGGCCATGGACTGCATGATGGCGGTGAGGAAGGACTGGGGGTTGAAGAAGCCAGCCAGCCACACGGTGGTGGGCAGGGCAAAGTCCGTCGTCCAGGCCTCAAGTTCCTGGAAGGAAACGCGGGCAGGCATAAGGCTAGAACCTTTCGTTTGCGTCTCCGCAGGGCGCTGAGAGGGCCTTAGAGATGAGAGATCAGTGAAGCTCAGTGAAGCCTGCCTGTGACGTGGCTTTATCCTCTGGCTCCATTTTAAACGAGGGCATAAGAGACGGGTCAAGGAGGGCTGGCTTAACTATGAGGATAATTTGGGAGCCCAAAAAAGGCTTTTGCTTTCGTCACCTCACTGCTTTTAGAAGGCGGCTCACCCTGATGGGTGTCACGGGCTTTTTGAGCTCTGCTGGAGAGAGCTCTCTATATTTGTGTTGATGGAAGCTGCTCCCACTCCAAGCTTGCTGTTTTCTTCCTCTAGGAGGAAGTGCTTGCATCGTCAGGCGTCTTTGTGGTGTGGACCAGGCCCTTCCGGCCCTGCTCTCACAAAGGCCAGGCCCGCAGGGCTCCACGCCTCTGGGTGAGAGCACACGTTCCCCCCTCACAGCCATGTTCCTACGGTCTCTGGGGCCGGGGTGTGCTGAGTGTCAGGCCAGGCAGCAACTCCCGTGGGAAGCTCTCCTTACCCTGATGCGGAGCAGCAGGTCGGCATACCAGGCCGCCAGGCCCATCATGGAAGGGTAGGCCCGGGCCACCCATGTATCAGGCACCGTGTCGTAGAACAGAGCCGTGGACAGGTCTTCCATGTCGGTCGTGATGGTCAGTTCCCCCTAAGGGACACACAGACGGAGGTGCTTAGTGTCCGAGGCCGTGCCTCTTGGCAGGGGCGCAGACATGGTTGGTCCCGTTCCTTGTTTTACTTTCAGCAAGGTGGGAGAACACCCCTCCTTGTGTGTTGTGAGTTATTGAGAGAATGTAGTTCGACACAGAGTGTGGGTCAGTAGGGTGCCTCTGCAGATGCCCCACAGTGGCCATGCCAGCATTTCCTGCCAGGGCACTGTCTAGATGACCTCCATGGCCTGTTCTGGAGTGCCTACGACTCCAGACCAGGGAACAAAGAGGAGGTAGTGACATGCTAAGGTCGAGGGGCCGAGGCGCCCAGTGGCCTGGGGTTTGTTTGTTTTGCAGCTGAGGAGGTGAGTCAGCCTGCAGCTGCCGGCCTACTTCCTAAGGCACGTCCCCAGGCCCGGCTGACCCATATTTTTTTTACCTTCAGCCCCAGGTTCAGCTCCTTTAGTGAACGGCGCATTTCATTGGTTAGGATGTTCATTCTTTCACATTCTTGAAAGGCGACTACCACATAGGGGGTCTTTTCAGCAGCCTTCGCCATGATCTCGGCCATGTTGAACGTCTCCGGGATCTTCTCCAGGATTTCCTCCAGCACGGCCTTCACCTGGAAGTCAGTCCCAACAACCCCATCACTGCACCTGCGCCAGCCAGCCCTCCCCCAGCGTCAGGGTCAGGGAGCTGGCCCAGAGGTTCACAGCTCCAAATCCGGGAACAAAGGGAAGTGGGGTTGCCAGAAAATCGGGATCACGAAGGTGCAGCCCCACGTTTGACGAGGAGAGGGGAATCTTGGCCAACAGGCTTTGATATTCTGGTCCCATTGTCAAGGCCACATGGCTGTGGCCGTGGAGCATCAGGCCGCCCTAGCCTGGTGCCTTCAGACGTTCCCGGATGTGTCAGCTTCCTTCCCCCGTCAGATCACCCGGCAGTTGTGGGATTGTGCTTGTCCTCCGTGTGGGCTGTCTGTAGGGACCGTGCTGGTCACACCCTCTCAAGGGGTGGCCCACATGGGGTCATGTACACCATTGCCCATCAGTAGGTTTCTGGTTTCAATCATGAGACCAAGAAAAGGTCCTGGGGGCCTCATAGCACTGAGGGTCTTCCAATCAAGAATTTGGTCTATTTACTGGGAAGCCCAATACTTTACTTAGCTGATTTTTAGTAGAACTTGTCCAGAATATATTAAAAATTGCAAAGGTGCTGACGCCTCATGAGATGGCAGGGGTAGCCCAGACAAGTGAGAATTTATTAAATGCTCTTACACTCTCTGAGCCCTTCTGCTTTGCGTATTCGTGGGACCTGCCCACTGTAATCATCTAAGCTTCTCTGGAGGGACTGTTCTCATGAGTCTAGACTGCTGTAAGGGCCACACTTGTGCACTCCCAGGATTTCTGGCTGCTGCTCTTGTGTTCCCAGGGCAAGTTTGGAGAAGGGCTGCACTCTTCGCTAGCACTCAGGTGGTGAAGTTAGAAGGGTGCAGGGAGGGTGGCCGGCCAAGACTGTGCCCAAGTACCTGAAGATCCCCTGCCTCTCTAGGCCCCGGGTGCTCATGCTGAGTGTGCAGCGGCACCAGTGGGACATGTTAGCCAGGTTGCAGGCCCCACCTCTGAGTTTCTGATTCCAAGATCTGGAGTGGGGCCTGAGAGTGGTTGCTAAAAAGTTCCCAGGTGTTGCTGCCCGTTGGGACGCACTTCATGAACCCCAGTTCTAGGCCCTGCCCTTCGCTGTCGCTGGGATGGCTATTAAGTCTCCTGCCTTCTCCTCGCGAGACACTCCTGTGCCTGCTCCCGAATCGGTCTCTTTGGGCTGCATTTCCAGGACAGTGCGGAACAGCTTCTCTGAGGTGACCGTCAAAAAGCCAATCTCCGCATTGGGGTGCAGGCCGTACAGGTAGGGACTCTCGGGGGGCAGGTTCTCGTCGATGTATTCGTGATAGCCCTGAAAAGGGGCGGTTGGTAAGCAGGCGGCCCAGGTAGAGCCGTGCAAGCTGGCATGCGTGTCCCCAGGTTATTAAGCATTTCTTACCAGAATGTTCCACCCATGTCTTGCCCTCTGTACAAACCCCACCAGTTCTCTAACCCGCTTTTTGGGCTGCCCCCCTTTACTCCCCAGCTACATAAAGGAAGTTTCCACTCCTCCTCCCCAGAGGCTGCATTTCAAACCCTCTGTTGCTTTGGTTGCCTGGCTTCTTGCTCAATTATTGATATTCCATTTGTGACGCGAGGCTCTCACGGGGAGCCGGCTGGGACGGCATTAAGCTTTGTAGCTGCTGCGTCACAGAGTGAGCTCCTGTTTCATTGGTTATCATCCCTGAGAAGAAGCTCCCTCACCTTGTAATCCAGGTTTGGGGGGATCTGAAATCCCGGGGCCAGCAGGATCTCTCCCTCCAGCATCTCAGCCCGGATGTACTCCGCCAGGTACGTCCTGCACAGCCGGCGGTCCCAGTCATCCGTGATGTGGCCACCGTACATGATTTCACCGAAGAGGTAGCGGAGGTCGTCCCAGGGCACCTGGAGGAGGATGGAGGCAGTCAGGGGAAGGTGCCCCTGCCTGTCTGTGTCTGTAAGGGTGGCAGCTTAGGCTTCGGCTGTTGCCTGAAGGCCAGCGCCTCCACAGCAGCTGCTTCTCCTCGGTCACCCCGCCTCTTCCTCCCCACCAGGCCTGCAGGGTCACCTGTTGCCCTTGGTCACCAGGCACAAGCCTCGCCTTTCCCCTCCTGTGGCACTGCCCGTCTTTGGGGTCTGACTTGGCAGCCAACCCCCCTTGACGCCCTCTTTCCCCTTGGCTCCTCTCATGAGGGGCCCTCCTCCATCAGACTGTGCTCTACCCCTAACCAGGGACGGCCCGGCCCTCTGCCCGAAGCCTTTTCTGCACTCTCCCTGGACAGTGACCTGACCAGAGGTTGTCTGCCGGAGCCCCAGACTCCACATGTCCACCCAGAGCCCCAACTCACTCCCTCTGCCCGTTCCTCCCTCTTTTACCCACGCTCGGAGACGGGGAGCTGTCTGTGACTCTTTCCCTTCGCCGTCCAGTTAGTCGTATCTTAAAATGCACCGAGTGGGTCTTCCTCTGAGCCCGCTGAGATCGCCCTGGCCCATTTCCTTGCTTATTGCTCCGTTCCCGGTCGCTCTTACCCACGTGCGCCTCAGACCTCTGTGGCACAGCAAGCTTCGCACAGTAACTTACCGACCAGAACTTTGGCTCCCCAGGGCTTAGAACACGGACCAAACTGGGCAGCGTACACGGACCAAACTGGGCAGCGTGCACGCACGCTCAGCCTGCATCCGCGTCCCTCCCGGTCAGGCCGAGGGAACTCTGCCCGGCCGTCCAGTGCCGTGTCTCCGCTCAGCCCACCCTCAGCCGCTCCAGCTGCTCTTGGTCTTCCTCGCGCTTTCACGTTCTGCTCTCAGCCTGGAGCACCGTCCTCTCAGCCACCACTCAGCGAAACGCCACTTGTCCTCGAACGCCGGCTCAAATGCAGCCTCCTCCACAAGCCAGGGATGCATTTCTCCGCCTTCCCAGCCCCAGCATGTAGCTGTTCTCCTGCCCAGTGCATCTACCGGAAGCATCATGGGAGCCACAAGTGGCAGCCACATGTGTAATTTCAAATTTCCTAGCAGCCACTTAAGAAAAGTAAAAAGATCATTCTAACAGGTAGTCAGCATAAAAATTAATTAACAAGGTATTTTACATTCTTTTCTTGGTACCAAGCTTTTGAAATGCAGCGTGTATTTTACCCCTGCGTTTGGACGTGCTGCCTGTAGGTGGGCCCACGCTGTGCGTGCTCGGCCCATCGCCACTTTCGCACGGGCACGTCTTCTCTGAGGATTGCAGCCCCTTAAGGGCAAGGAGGGCGTTTGTGTAAGGTGTCGCTGCCACACTGCCTAAAGCAGCTGCCCACCAAGCACTTGCGAATGGAAGCCGACTGAATAAGGGCTTGGCCACTTGTCTGATTTGGCCTCAGGAATTTGTACTCAAAATATCAATATTCTCTCATTGTCGTTTTATGACTTAAATGTTTTCTCTTCTTGGTTATCCTGGGTATGAGCTGAGCTACTTTTTCTGCATTTACTTCTTTTTTTTTTTTTTAAAGATTTTATTTGTTTTATTTTTTCCCCCCAAAGCCCCAGTAGATAGTTGTATGTCATAGCTGCACATCCTTCTAGTTGTTGTATGTGGGACTCGGCCTCAGGATGGACGGAGAAGTGGTGCCTCGATGCGCACCCGGGATCCGAACCCAGGCCACCAGCATTGCAGCGCGCGCACTTAACCACCAAGCCACAGGGCCGGCCCTGCATTTACTTCTTTGCTTTGGGGACAGCTTCTGTTTCTCCTGCGAGAAAGCGCAGGGTTGAGCACGCCCCACAAGCCGCTCTCTGGGGACGGTCCTCCCCGAGGGTGGGGAGGCAGTGGGTCTAACCGCCAGGGATGGAGCCACCATGTTCCCACACCTGGTGGAGGGAAGGCCTGAGTGCTCAGCGGAGACACGATGCCAGGCCTCTCCCTGAGAGTGGGAGTGGGTGGGTCTGTGTTTTTAACAAACGCTTCAGTGTGGGAAGCACTGATCTACTTCCTCAGAGTTGGGAGGATGGAACGGGCCGTGGGACACAGATGACATCATCACAGGCAGTGACTTCACATGGCCTCCCCGAGGCCACAAGCTCGGACAAAGGAAAGGCCATGCCGGTGCAGGCCCGGGGCACACGGCCTGACCAGCCTGACCGTTAACACTGCTCAGCAGGACACAGGTTTCCTTTGTGTGCCGTCTGCCCAATACCCCACTGGTCACTGGAGCACTTGGTGTATAGCCTCGAGCAGTTCCTTACCCACCTTGGATTGTGTGTGTGTGTGTGTGTGTGCGCGTGTAATGGAGGAAGTGTCTGAGTGAATGTCTTTAAAAACTCTCAGCAACACTGTTCCTCCCACACGAATCTCCCTGAGAGAACTGCTCTGATGATACTGGTGATGAAAATCCTGCACATATCCCCTCCCTTGTGTTTATTTATTTGTGTCAGTGTCGGAAGATGTGCTGCGGGGTTTAGCTCAGCCCTGTTTCAGGTGAAGCCACCACCATCACCCTGTCCCACCCTCTGCAAATGGAGACCGCCTCCTCCCTCCTGCTGCGTGGGGGCTCGGGGAGCCAACTTCCGGCCCGGGCTGCTCTCCTGCCTTCTCCGAGGTTGGGTGTTTTCCCCGGGAACTGAGCAGGCCACAGCATTCCAGCTCAGATGTGGGGACGCAATCCTGGGAGGCCGTCTTTCTCCGGGCAGCTCTGTCATGGCTGCCTAGGCAGAGTGGCTCGCTCTGTGGGCCAAGGGGCAGGGTGGCGTTCGACATCCTGGGTCGTCAGAGGTGGGCCCCTTGTCAGACCGTTTCAGGCTGCCCATGGGGAGTGGACGTGGCCTTCCCTGCCTGGCCTTAGTGTCCCCCCCCCCCATTTATTACAATAGTGTGGGAACAGAGGAGGGGGTTCCCCAGATTCTAGCACTCCTAGGCCAGGCGGGGCACTTCCCACCTTTCCTTGCTTAACCCCCAAAGCTTTGAGGCTGGGGTGTTATCCTCAGGCTCTAAGAGGTCTCTCAGCTAGTGAGGGGCAGAGCTGGGCTTCAAACCCAGGCCCCTGGGCACCAGTGCCATTTCTGACCATGCCACAACGGGGTGGGCGCTGGGAGGGGCTGCTGCGGTTCAGCTGTCCGACCACCTGGCTCCCTCGCCCTGAGGTGGGTCTCAGGAGCCTCCTGGGCAAGCCGAACCCTGCTCTTATTCCCTGTCCACCTCTCTCGGCATGCGAGGGCGCTTGCTCCACAGTCCTTGTCACTGCTGATTTGCGGGCAAGAGGAAGAGCCCAAGGTTTATGGGGGTGCACAGCCCTTCTGCCTCCTCCTGGGGTCACAGAGGCGCGTGCTGTGTCAGCGCCAGGCTTTTCGCGAGTAAGATCCTGGAAGGGCCAAGTGAGGCGGGGAGAACCACTTGCAGTTCTGGGTGGGATGGCCACGCCTTAGGGGTTCTCTGGGCGGGGTGCCAGGCCACCTCTTGGGGGTACATGCCACTGACTGTGGGGCTCCCATCTGGATTCAGCCCTGCAGTCGGTTCCACACGTGCGCTCACGGCCTCCAGGCCACGCGGGTCTCCCCTCGGAGTCTGCAGACGGCCTGCTTGTGCCCTCACGGCAGAGACAGTTCCTGGAGGAGGCGCTGGCTTTCTTTTCCGTCCTCTGTAGCTGTGTGCAGGTGACTACACATTCACTTTAATTTTCAGTAAAAATGAAAGGAAGCGTTCCCGCCTTTCCAGGGAGTGTTTTGGCCCTCCCTCTAGCCCTGGGTCCTGTCTCCAGACACTGGCTGAGCACCGGTGAGGCCCGCAGCCCAGCCCTCTCCCCGCTCACGCCGCCCAGAGGGAAATTCCTGTTCAGGTGCCGGACGGCCAGATCCCCAAAGAGATGTGAGCCCTGTGGGGTGTGACAACAAGCAGAAAAATTGCCAGACAGCTGACAACTGCAGGAGGTGGTGGCAAAGGACTGGATAATAATTATACCAGGTTGGTGGGATCACAGATGATCCTTATGTTTTCAGATTTCTTTGGATTATGAAACCTATTTAACGTCTCTTAAACATAAGACGAAGAGAGAGAGAGGGAGGAAGGGGGAGGATGGAGGGGAGAGAACCGAGCCGGGCACAGGGGAGCCAGTGGCCCACGTGCCCCTTACCTTGGTGTTGGCTTCCAGGTAGTTGTAGAGCACGTTGATGGAGATGGTGAGGTCTCCGTTGTTGAAGGGGTACGACCTGTTCCAGCCCTGGGCCCCAAACTTGCGCCTCTCGGCCACCACGGCATGGAAGTAGCACAGGGCGAAGAGAATGCACTTGAATTCGATCTCCTTGGTGCACATCTCCAGGGTGTCCTGCGGAGGCACACGCCCCAGGTCAGGCAAAACCCACACAGAGACGCCCCAGGTGGGAACAGAGTCCTGTCTTTGCCGGCTGCTTTGCTGGGGTGCGGGTGGGGTGGGTGGGGTAAGGTGCCAGTGTGGGTGCAGGTGGGTGCGGTACAGGTAGGGGCGGAGTGTGGGTGCAGGTGGCGGTGGAAGCAGGTGGGGGTGGCGGATAAAGCCGTTGACTGCTCTGAGCTGGTCTTTCGAGTTTCTCCCAGTATGTAAAGGCTGGAGTAGAGGACACTTTCTTATCCTTGTTCTTTCAGAAATGCAGTTTTATCACTTAAGTACTGATTACAAGTCAAATCATTGATCCTACTTCTTAATAAAATGCTCCCCAATACAGGGCATTTCAGGACTCCTGTAATGAGAAATAACGTTCCTCTGCAATTATCAACATTCCTCATGGTTTATGTACAAACAGTATCCCAAGCTCTTTGAAAACAACCGGTCAAGTCTTCTTAGGAGGGAGGGTGCCTAGCAAACCCTTCCTTTTACGTGGCCCCAGGAAAGGCAAACCCAGCCCCGATTCTCAGTCACTGATATGCGGGTCTGTGAGATTTTACTGATTAGTCTTTGCGAAGTGGGTGGCTCCTGAACACACAGAGGCTTCTGGAGGCTAAGCTGTGCTCTTCCTGGTCCGCTCAGCGCTGACTGTGAGCGCCTCCGGGCCAGGCACTCTGCTGCAGGCACAGTGGCCAGAAAGCCGGATGAGGGACAGACATCTGTCAAATGGTCACTGTGGTGAAAAGTGCCAGGAAAAAAACGCACCCGGTTCCTCGAGAGAGGGGCCCTGCCCCGAATTCCGCAGAAGCCTGACAATGTCTGGGCAGATGTCCAGCTGGAGGCGCAGATGGGGGCTCCGTTACCCATCCTCCCCTCCAGGTTCTTCCCCACTGCCTGTCATGGAGACTGCACTATGGCCTGGGGGCCCGGGAGACAGGCCTGGCCAGTCTCATCCAGCCATCAGCTAGCAGTGAAGGCGTGGAGACAAGAGAGAAGATGGCCAGAGGGAGAAACTTGCCAGCCCCCGGGGATAAGGGAAAGCCTGGCATCTGCCTCCAGAGTTCTCTCACTGGTCGGATTGCTGGTCATCGGCCTCCTGGGCCTCTGGGCTGTGTGGTCACAGATGTGTCTGAGGATGGCCTGGGTGGGTCCTAGCCACCACCGCCTTTTCCTGTGACAACTCCCTGAAGGCAACGGGCCCAGCACTTGTGAGGGTCCGCTCAGGAGGCAGTGGGGCCCAGCCTCCTCAGGGCCTCCCCTCCCATCTTTGCAGATGCCTCAGGTAGTGAACCGAGTCAGGGGGCAGCTCAGCGAGTCCTGGCCACTGCCCATGCCTGACCTGGCTGGCAGCTCCGCCTCGCATCTGCATGACAGCAGCTGCTCTTCCCGCCAGCTCCTCCCTAAAGCCCCAGGCGCAGCACCCCAGGGCATCCTCCAGGTCCCCATGTCCCCCCAGAGGCCTCTGCTTGCCCCAGTCAGGCTCTACTCGCTCCGGGTCTCAAAGGCCCTTGTGTATTCTCTTCCTCGCCCCTCTGCACCTGGCTGACCCCCCCTCACCCCTCTAGTCTCAGCTGTCTGCCTCACACCCCTTCCCAGCCAGGACTGGCTTAGGCGCCACTCTGTGCACTGACTGGTGCAGGCTCCAAACTCCTGGAGGTGGGTGGCCAGCTTCTTGCCTGCCTTGCCACCCACCGCCATCTATCATGGACTCACACTTTAACAAAATGCAGTAACAAGGAAAAACCTGACGTGCTTGGAGTCACAGCAATGTCAAACTGCTACCAAATTTACTGGATGCCTCCTCTCGGTTTCTGTACTGATCTCATTAGAGACGGCAGCAAATATAGCTCTCGGACCGGTGCTGGCCCACGGCCTCCAGTTTGAGCAGCGTCAGCCTGGGTCCCCGTGCGCTATCACACTGCATTCCCATTCCTGTGGACATGTCCTCGCCCCTCGCCGGACTGCAGGCCCGCCACCCGTGTAGCGGATCTTGTTCATCGTTTTGTTTTGTTTGGTGTTTTGAGGAAGATTGGCCCTGTGCTAACATCTGTTGCCAGTCTTCCTCTTTTTTTTCCCTTTTTTCTCTCCAAAGCCCCAGTACACAGTTATGTATCATAATTGTAGAGCTGTAGCTCTTCTATGTGGGACGCTGCCTCAGCATGGCTTGATGAGCGGTGAGGAGGTCTGCGCCCAGGATCCGCACCGGCGAACCCCGGGCCGCCGAAGCGGAACATGCAAACTTAACGGCGACACCACCAGGCTGGCGCTTTGTTCATCGTTTTGTTCCTGTGCCGACAGCATCCTGGCGCACAGCATTTTCTGTTTGGAGGAAGGAGTGAGCAACCCGTTGGGCCCATCTGTTCCCTGCTTTCAGCTCTCTCTGACTTCACACTCTGGCCTCCTTAAAAGCCGGTAGGGAGTTGTTAGTTGATGACTCAGATATTTTCATATAAGTTTTTCTTTATATATTAAATAACTCAGATATAGAAGTTATGGATTCTTGGCATAATGTACTCCATAAGTAGACCTTTGTTAGGTGTTATCAGAGAATACCGTGTTTCTTCCTCAAAAAGGTTTTAGACTCCAATTGGGAGATCAACTATGTGCACCCAGAAAGTTCTAGTACAGAACAGAAGACGATCAGGTGCTAAACGAATGAATACAGATGCCGGTGGTTTGCAGCAGGGAACAAGGATGCCAGGGAAGACTCCAGAGAAGGGGTGGCTTGGGGACCGTGAGGTTTGGACGGGAGGGAGGAGGCATGTGAGCGAGGACCTGGGAAGAACGGGGAGTGGACAGGCCCTCACGGGCCAGGCGGGCTGAGGCCCCTGCACCCCGTCCTGGAGTGCAGGCAGCCCGGTTGTGTTTTTGCAGTGTTCCCATTGAAGGCAGGTGGGGGCCTGCGTGGGGAGGGAGGGAGACCTGGGCCAGACACAGAACCCAGCGAGCCGGCGTTACTACCCTCGCCTGTGGCCCATTGTCGGCTGGCCACGGGGTGCTGCGGCCCCATCCATCAGCAGTTGGCCTTCCGACCAGCGTCATGCCTCGTGAGGAGTGAGAGCAGGGGCCAGGGAGGCCCTGTGGCCCCAGCAAAGCTTACTGACCGTCGGGGAACCACCCTTGGGAGCTTGGCCCCTTCCTAAGGTGCTTGGACAAACCAAGGACCTGGACTGAATGTACCTGTGCTAATTTGCAGGTCATGAAACTGAATAAAAATATGCCTTTCTGTTTTATAAAGGTGTAAGTGATGGATACTCCCAGAGCACTTTAAATTATTTGCATTTTGTGTGCAGTCTTTTGGGAATATATTGATTTTGCAACTCGAGGTGTGTGCATGTATGCGTGCATTGGGGATTGTGTGGAGGGGCGAGAACCGGCATGGAGCATCCTCAGAGTTTAGTCCGATCCTCAGCTTTGCAGGCCCAGAGAGCCCCTTTGGTCTGGTCATGAGGGCTGCTCAGACTCGGGGGCTGACGCTGGGCACGCGCAGAGGGGAAGCCGCCCTACCTGGGTGAAGAGGTCCAGGGCCTTGTGCAGGTTGGCGTGCATGCCCGTGGGCGGCTCGTTGGTGATTTTGATGGCGTTTTCCAGGATGCCCTGGGGGATGATGTGGGACTCGGGGCTGGGGGCGGGCTCGGCGCTGATGAACACGCGGTAGTCCTTGTGGCTGCCTGTGCTGTACCGCTCCACCTTCTTGTCCAGGGTGCTCAGCCACCGGGCCACCAGGTGGATGTTCTGTGGCCAAGACCAGGACTTAGAGCCCACACACTCCTTCCCCACCCTGGGCCTACGAGGACAGGCCACTAGGCCATGTCCCCTGGTGGGGCAGGCAGGCTCTTCCTATCTGCACCCGCACTCCCCATCCCACCGTCCACCCTGAGCGAGCGCTGGGCATGCTGGATACCTTCAGCCAAGCAACTGAACCTGTGCTCCCTTCATCCAAGACCTCCAGCCCCATGGCGAGTCCTTCCCGCCCTCTCCCAGCGTAAGGCTGCCATTATATGGCCCCCAGCACACCTCTGAGAGGTTTGGGTAAAAAGAAATGACTTGAAGCTGAGGTCTCCGTGTGGGACCAGGCTAGGCCCTGTGCATGGAGGTCGGCCTGCCGTGGGGCCTGTGGAAGCCGGGCCGGTGGGCCTGGAGGTGCTAGTGGGGCAAGTGGGGACCTCGGAAGGGCCGTGGTGCTAGGCTTGACCCAAGACATGGAGAGAGCGCCTTCTGGGCCATGCCGCTCTACCCAGCAAGGGGGAGGGAGCGACGCTTCTGTCCACTCAGGGTTTTTTGTTGTTTAGATCGTATCTCTTTAGGGTTCTCTGGCATAAAGCCCAGTGTCTCTCTCACCGTAAAGAATCCACACTTTCACTGAGCATTCCTGACGCCCCACCCAGCTGAGCAGGAAGGGCCTCCTGCCCCCTGCCTGAGTGGGCTGCAGGATTCCCAGCCACATTTGTGAATGCAAATCCCACAACCTGCTTTCTTGCGGGCCTTCAGGCCAATCCCCTGGCCGCCTCAGTGCGGGGAGCCCTCACCCTAGAGGCGCTGGTGCCGCTCCCCCTTACCTGCAGAATGACCCAGTGTCCCCTCTCTGCAGCCACATCTAGAGCATTCTCTGCCACCACCTCTTGTCCCTGCCCCAGGGACACGTTGTGGAGTTTCCCATTGTCTATGGTAAATCCCAGTTTTTTCCCTAAAGAAAAGAAAAACAGGAAAAGCATGAGGATGATTGAACGACAAAGGTTGAGGCACTGTGATCCACAGCTGAGAATTCCACACTCTCCCCCACTTTTTTGTATTGTGGTAAAATACACATAATATCAAATTTACTTTTCTTTTCTTTTTTTTTTTTTTGGTGAGGAGGATTGGCCCTGAGCTAACATCTGTGCCAATCTTCCTCCATTTTGTATGTGGGATGCTGCCACAGTGTGGCTTGACAAGTGGTGTGTTGGTCCACGCCCGGGATCCGAACCCACAAACCCTGGGCTGCCAAAGTGGAGCACACAAACTTAACCACTATGCCACCAGGTCTGCCCCTCAAATTTACCATTTTAAAAACCATCTTAATGCATACAGTTCAGTGACATTTAATACATTCACAATGCTGTGCAACCATCTAACTGGTTCCAGAACATTTTCATCACCCCAGAAGGAAACCCCATACTCATTAAACAGTCATTCTCCATCCCTTTCCCCCCAAGCCCCTGGCAACCACTAATCTGCTTTCTGTCTCTATGGATTTACTTATTCTGGAGAGTTCAGATAAATGGAATCATATAATACGGGGCCTTTGTGTCTGGCTTCTTCCCCCTGGCATCATGTTTTCAAGGTTCATCCATGTCATAGCATGTGTCAACACTTCGTTCATTTTTATGGCTGAATAATATTCCATTGTATGAAGAGACCATATTTTATTTATGCATTCATCTGTTGATGGACATGTGGGTTGTATCTACCTTTTGGCTGTTATTAATGAATCCCTGTAAAGCACTTTTTGGAACACTTGTTCTCAGTTCTTTGGGTGTATACCCAGGAATGGAATTGCTGGATTCTACGGTAATTCTATGTGTAACTTACTGAGGACTCACCAAATTTTTCTCCAGAGTGGCTGCACCATTTTATGCTCCCACCAGCAATGTACAAGGGCTCCAACTTCTCCACATCCTCCCAACACTTGTTATTTTCTGTGTTTTGATAATAGCCATCCTAACGGGTGTGAAGTGGTATCTCTCTGTGATTTTGATTTGCATTTCCCGATGACCAATGATGTTGACACATGCCCCTTTTTGAGGCCATCACTCTCGGGCTACACTTACCCAGGGCTTCCACGTCTTTTAAGGGGTCAACCCCGGGGGAAAGGATGAAGAAGATTGGAGTGGAGGGGCTGCTTTCCTCGTAGGACTTGGAAAACTCAACGCTCCGGCCCTCCACGAACTTGCTGCCCATCTTCTCCTCCACAAAGTTCCTGGGGGAGACGCGAGTGGTCAGACGGAGGGCAAGGGGGCGGGTGGGCTGTGACCAGGGGGAAGGGCTGTTTTCCTCGTGGACTTTCTTAAGCAGAGAGAGGTCTCTGGCCAGAAAGCGAAGTCTTTACAGGGGCTCTCCTCTGTGCACGGGAAGGGTGCAAGGGGGAGTATATGCTCCCTGCCCAGGCGGTGTTTGCTAGGGGCACCCTTTGCTGCCGCCAGGCCCTGCAATGCGCTCTTCCTTGGAACAGCCTAGTACATACAAGTGAGAAGTGGTCTCCACGAGCTGAGGCTGCCTGTTTTTCAAAGGCACACAGGTCAACTGGGAGGGAACACGGGCCGCAACGGGGCCACGATGGGCCGCAACTCAGGGAGTTCCAGGAGACTAGGCCCCAGTGCCAGGCGGCTGCAGACCCTCGGGGCCCTCAGTGCTCCCAGTGAGGGGTCAGTTTCTAGTGATTCCCTGTTTCCCACACATGTTGTAACTGCTGTGCAGACAAGGGCCGCAGGGAGGAGCAGAACACAGAGAGTCGCTGCGTCCCCGTGATCTCCCCTGACTGGGGGGTTTGAGGAGGAAGGAAGTTACATGAGAGCTGTTTTGGTGAGCTTCAAGGACACAAAACGTGGATCATCAGAAAAATCCCAGAAGAAAAATCGACTTTACACATGCACCTCTCTTTGCACAAACGCCTCTCTCTTCCAAGCTCCAGACTCTTTTCCTCCGGACCCCGATAAGCCTGGGGTCAGCCGAGGCCCCTGTCACAGGAAAGCGCGTGTTCTTCAGGGTGGCCTGGGATCTCAGCTCTGCCCTGCTCCCCTGATCACAGACGGCTGAGCTTGCTGTACTCTGAAGGGATCAGAGGAGCTAAAACCAGGAAGATTTTAACGCCCAGCCCAGTCTGAGAGGAGGACCAAGGGCAGCACGCCCGGGGGAGCTTGCTTATCCCCGGCAGTTGGCTGTCTGAATGCTCTGAGCATCCTGTAAGACCTTCAGGTGGACCTCTTCACGTAGAGGCCACCCCGCCTCCTTCCCTCTGAGTCAACGGGGAATCTGCGGGCTGGTGCCAGGCGGGCCTTCCCACTCCCTCGGGACTTTCTGAGGACACCCCTGCTCTGGCCTTCGTGGCTTCTGTACAGTTTCCTGAACCAGTGCTGACTACAGGTGGGGGGTGGTGTGCTGCCCCTGAAGGCCTCTGATTGTATTCCGTTCCAGCCTTGGGAACTGACTCAGAACATCAGGTGCTAGGATCCTTGTCCAGGAAGGACTTCCAGAATGTACCAAGTCACCATGTCACTAAATCACTGTTGCTGATGACCTTGCCAGGCCACATGGTCATTCTCTGCGAATGAATGAGTGATGCAGGAGAGTGTGCGGCTGGTTCCAGTAGGGCTGCACCAGTCCCAGCACTGCGTCCTTGGCACAGGAGAGCTGGAGGCAGCTCCCAGCAGTCACCCCGGGTGGCAGCGTTTATACCGCAGAAGCTGGCAAGTGTGCAAACCAGGGCTTTTTTTTGGAAAGCCAGTTTGCTAGCACCTCCCCCACCGTGGGTGATTTACTCCCGTCTCCGTGCCTGTGAACTGGGAATGGTGGAAGAGGCTGCCTCAAGGCATTGCTGGAGGTGCCGTGGGTTAACACAGGGAGACCTTTGGAGGGTGCACACAATGCACCCTTGATGACAGTTTGCTGTTACTATTCACCGTCCATGTGAATCCTTGCTTTTAAGCTACACTCCCCTATATAATTAGGGAGGTAAATGTGCTCTCCTCAACATTACAGAAATGTCATGGAGCGTGACTCAGGTTCCCCTGGTGTTTGGGTCACCCACACCGCTGCCAAGCACGCTAATGCTCACGCAGTCTGCGCTCATTTCCTTCTTTCCCGCCACCCATGTGCTTTCACGTGGGTTAACTCAGGTGATTCTCAAAAACCCTCTGGAGGTGGCTGACCCCGAACGTGCTCAGCTCTGCAGGCAGGCGGTGGGCGCCCTTCACGTGGCCTCCCAAGCTTTGCTCCACCTCTTCCAGCGCTGACGCCGCCCTGTTCTCTCCCTGGACCAGCTCTACTCTCCTACTTGACTGTGATTTCTGGTTTCACTCCACCGCCTTCCTCCTGCCCGCCCCATAACCCCTCCTGGTCCCTTTCCTCTTCGATCCCAGGAAAACAAAGCAAAACAGAAAGGTCTGTGAATAACCGCTGGGTGTGAGTCAGGCCTCCGCTTTGCCGGAGGGGAATTCTATTAGGGATGTGGGCGTCTTTTGGGAAATCAGGCAAATGAAAAGGACAAATGAAAAAGCCAAGACCTCAAATGACCCACGTGCCCTCCGAGAATGGGCCCTGGGCTGGTTTCACTGTCAACGCTTCCACACTCTTGACAGCTCTGTCCTCAGCTGGTGGGGGGTTGGGAGGGCCCAAATTCTCTCACAGATGTCTACCCTGGCGACCCTGTGCAGATGACACATGTTGTAGCTATTCCTGGGTCCTTCTCTGAAGTGACAGACCAACGAGGGAGTGAAGGAGCCGGCAGCCAAAAGGCCTTGACGATTAGTTTTCCAGTCGTGGAGGGGTTTCAGGTATAGAGAAATTGTTCATGAAATAGAACAGTTCTCTGCAAATGAGCCCAAACTGACAAAACTAAAAGATTTACTTTAACTTTAGTCATTGAGGCATGAAAGTCCTCGAATGCTGATGGCTTTGCCATTGTTTTTTCCTCACAACATCCCTAAAAGGACTCTGTGTGGCCACGGAGGTCATTAATGCCCACACTGTTTTGTTTTGTTTTTAAATCTTGGAGGCTGACGCGGGGAGTCTTGTTTTCTCATCATTTATCCCGTGCATCCCTCCTCGCTCAGGTTGACTGGAGGTGAAGGGTCCCGCTAACTACTTTCTGAGACACTGAGAGCTAAGGAGAACTCAGAAAGGGAACTGGAGGACAGGGTGGAATCCCACCTCTGTCCCAGAACCACATGAGCCAATGCTTTGATGCCTCTGAGCCTCATTTTCTCCCTCCGTGAAATGGGGAGAAGAATGGGTGGACTTGAGGCCACAGGGTGCCTCGCACCGTGGTGGTGGCAGAAATCCCACACACGCCTGTTGCCTTGGCGAGGGGCGGGACCAGGACACCCAGGCCCCAGGAGGGCGGGGACACTCACTTGACAGCGTAGGTCATGCGGTCCGGCCGCATGCACCTCACCATGCAGAGCTTCTGCAGAGCCGTCTTGTTCTTCCACTCCTTGGGGAAGATTTCCTTTTCTGGGGCTTCCGACTCCACGAGCTTCTTCCACCGCTTAGCTGAGCCTTCAATGTCGTTGTCCAGGTTTTTGAACTCATCCATCTCTGAGAGGGCCTGGGGGCAGACGACCCTTTCAGCCCTCCCTAGGCTCCAGCGGGCACCTTCCCTGAATGTTACTTAGGAGGAGCCCAGGGCTCTGGGAACAGAAGGACTGCTTGGCCTGTCACTGAAATGATGAGCTGCTGGTGTCAACCACATGGCAGGCAAACCAGAAAAGTGGCCGGGAACCTGGGAGGGAGGGAGCTAATCGAGGGACATGGCTCGGGGCTGCTCCTCCAGAGGGCTCTGGAACAGGGGCCGTTCTCGTCTCGGGGGACCATCTTCTTCAGGTCTTTTTGAACTGAGACATTGAAACTTTGGGACATGAGGGCCCCTGACTGTATGTGTCCAAGATCTGAGGAATAAGCTTTACATTTTGCACTTTCCTGGAAACAGGAGGTGCGGGAGCCGTGGAGAGTCAACCCTGGACACGCCCTGGGGCCTGTCTTGTGGCTCAGCTTGCCCATGCAGGGACGCGCGCAGGCCGTGGTGAACGTTCTTACATTTGAACAGGAAAGCAGAGTTCCCTGTGCGCTGGCGGGCCCTACCTCCGGGCCCCCTTGTTGTACTGAATGTCACGGCTAGTAGCGCCTTGTAAACATCCCCAGTGTGAGCAGGAACGGCCCCCAAGCGAGGAGGGAGCCCACAGTGTTCAAGTCTAGACACCAACCTTGATGCCTCCCCATCCCTGGTGCTGTAGGAAGTCCACTGGCGACACGACCCCCGCCTTGAAAGGGAACCGTAGGAGGAAATCCAGCTCCACTGGGTTCAGCTCCTTCTTCATGGACAAGACCTGAGGGCACATGGGGTGGCCTAGGTGTCGCCCTTACCTCCATCTAGATCCAGAACTTTTTCCTCACCCCAAAGGGAAACCCCACACCCATTAGCAGTCACTCCCCATTCCTTCCCCCCAGCCCCTGGCCACCACCAATCTACTTCTGTCCCTATAGATCTGCCTACTCTGGGTATTTCATATAAATGGAATCATACAATATGTAGCTTTTCGTATCTGGCTTCTTTCACTGAGCATGTTTTCAAGGCTCAGCCATGTGGTAGCATGTCAGCACTTCCTTCCTTTTTATGGCCGAGTAATGTTCCACTGTATGGAGAGACCACATCTTGTTCATCCATTCCTCATCTGTTGATGGGCACTGGGGTTGTTTCCATCTTTAGGCAATTGTGAACAGTGCTGCTGTGAATGTTTGTATACAAGTAATGGTTTGAACACCTATTTTCAATTCTTTTGGTGTATAAATGTTCTGGGTCATATTCCATGTCACCTCGTCACATGTGCACGCCAGCTCTCTGGGCCTCTAGCAGGCTTGGTCATTTGAAACGGTTGGGTTGGGCAGCTGGCATGGCCTCCAGCAGTGGAGCTGGGCCGTGCTCATTGTAGCCTCCTCAGTCAGGCACTCGCACAGCTTCTCTCTTATTTTTATTTTTTTGTGAGGAAGATCAGCCCTGAGCTAACATCCATGCCAATCCTCCTCTTTTTGCTGAGGAAGGCCGGCTCTGAGCTAACATCTATTGCCAATCCTCCTTTTTTTCTCCCCCAAAGCCCCAGTAGATAGTTGTATGTCATAGTTGCACATCCTTCTAGTTGCTGTATGTGGGACGCGGCCTCAGCATGGCCGGAGAAGCGGTGCGTTGGTGCACGCCCGGGATCCGAACCCGGGCCGCCAGTAGCGGAGCGCGCGCACTTAACCGCTAAGCCACTGGGCCGGCCCACAGCTTCTCTCTTAGACTCCACAAAGCTTTCCCCTGAGTCAGACTCTCTCTCTTTTTTGGGGGGTTATGGGGGTCAAACAAAAAGTTCTTTGAGCCTGTTGTGCAAGATACATTCAGTGCAACAAGCTGAGGCACCTTCAGAGTGTGTTCTACCTGGAAAATTAGGGGGAGCACCAAGGACCCTTATCCAGACGTCCTCTGAGACGGGAGAGAAACTCATAGTGAACCCGTTATTCAGAAAGTCACATATAAGAGAAACCTCTGTAATCTGGCCTCCTAAGTCAAAACTTGAATTTGGATGGAAAGCCAGGTTTACACTGATGCCCGTGTATCTATGAAATTAGTGTTTCCAACCATACTTGTAACACAGAGTAAACAAAATGGCGGAGGGGCTGGCTAATCAATTTAAGGGAACAAAAACCTTTAAACATTTCAGCAGGTCTGCATGAAGAGAGGAATGGTTATTCGTTGGCACCTTTATTTCCTTAAGAAACACTGTCCAGTCTCCCCAGTGGGCTAACCACTAATGCAGGACTCTACTCAGCACTACTTAAATGTAAGAGAATGACATTTCTTTGTAAAATTCTCTTTAACTGACCTCGCCCTCAATGGCCCCCATTGCCTGGTATCAACTAGAGAGCGCCCAGGCAGCTTCCACAGCGGTGACTAAACTTCATCAGTCCCTTGGGAATCTCGCTAAAATGCAGGCTCAGAGTCACAGGGTCTGTGCTGGGGACCGAGAATCTGCACTTCCCCAGGCGGCGCCGATGCTGCGGGTCCTCGGACCACACTTTGAGGGGCAAGGCTAGATGTTACCTGAAATGCAACCTGTGCCAAGAAGATGAGTTTGTCTCGCTCGAAGAGCCCGCGGGCCGTGTACATGTAGACGGAATAGGTGATCTCATCCATCAGGTTGACCACTCGCTGTTTGACGTCCTCGGCAGGGGCGGTCTTCTGGATGGCTTTCTCGAACACCACGTTGAAGGCCTGGGAAAGGGGCCACAGAGCGCATGGCGGCTTGCAGGGCTGGGTTCCGAGGCCTCTCCATGCTGCCCGCAGCTGGCTCTGGTTTGTTTCCTTTGGGGGCGGAGGTCTGGGGGCACCAGGGGAAGACCCCCTCCCGGGGTGCTGGCCCTGGGCAGATCTGGTGCCCTGGCTCCCTCTCCCCAGCCCCATCTGCAGCCTGGACCCCGTCTGCCCTCAGAGGGTATACAGGCACCACCCCTATGGCTGGGGGCACTGTGGACGCCAGGCGCCCAGACCCGGAGCCACACGCAGACACACCTTGAGCGAGAACTGGTAGATGGGGTTGATCTTGCTGAGGTCGTTCAGGATGAAGTACAGCAGGGACGCCCTCTCCGCAGCCGGCCGGTAGTTCTCTCTCGCCTCATTGATCTTCACTTCTGTGATTTTCGCCTCTTGCACCTCAAAACAAACAAAAGGGGTTTGAGTGAAACCAGCAGGCGGACAACGACGGTGAGCAGATCCCCCCCCCCCCCCCCCCCCGCGCCACTGTCCAGAGCCCTCGGTTCCCTCGGAAGCCGCCTGGGGACTCTGGGCAGACGGCTGGGGGCTGGGCGGGGACCCATGCCCCTTCTCCCTGCCCCAGGCCCCCGGGGGCACTCGTGTGACTGTGGCTTCTCTTCTCGGTGACCTTTGGAGGAGGCACCTCTCAGCCCATCTGCCGACGCCCGTGTGCTCTGGTGGGGGTGCTGAAGGGGGCAGCCCTGGGAGCCAGTTTCCCACCTTCTCCTCGATCTCGCGGGCCGTATGTTTGGTGGTCTCCAGGTTCTCCACTAAGGCGGTGTCTCCCAGAAAGTTCCCTGATGCGGCAGACAGACGGGCCAGCAGAGAATCTTCCAGCTCTTTCAGAACAATCTTAAATTCATTTTGAGACTTGGTGAGGTTCGCCTGCAGGGGGCAGAGACCCGGGAAGGGAGCTCAGGCGTCGGCCTGGCCTGGCTGCACAGCCTGTGCACTCGGGGCACAGCCTGTGCCCTGCGGCCAAGGCCCCAGGACTCGGATGAGAGCAACATGTCCAGCCTGAAAGGAGGCGGCAGAAGTGGGGGCCACAGGGCAGTGCGGGCCCTGCTCCTGGCCTCTGCGCTGCCTGTCATCAGCGACCGTGTAGCAAGGGCTTGGGGACCGTGGGGGAAGCATGGGGCCTGGGACCCCTCTGAGCCCCGTGAGTAGCTAAGACAGAGCGAAGGACGTGACCAGCGCGCAGGGGCCAGGCAGCAAAGACCATTCTTGTGGGGCAGCAGTTGATGCTTGAGGGCCGTCTGGGCACCGCTGTGACTCCTGCTCTTTCAGTGAAGCAGTCGTTTGATTTAGAATTAGATTTGGGAGGCAGTGCGGAAGAAGAGTGACTCCTTCTGTTGTGCACAATACATTCAGTGTGACATTCCCACTGCGTCAGGGAACCACACAGTGACCTGCCGCCCTCTGCCCCCGAGCCGGACAGCCCTGCGCCACCTGTGACCGACGTCAGGCCCTGGTACCTTCAGCTGCTCTAGATCCGGGCGCTCTTTGGCCACCACAGCGGCCAGAAGCTGGTCCTCAAGCCCGTCCCTGGTGACCAGGAAGTTGATCAGGGTGCACTGGGCCTGCATCTCGGGCTTGTAGTGCGGGTTGAAGTACTTGGTGTGCAGGATCAGGCGGAGCTGGGGGTGGTACTCCACCTCCCTGTCGCCGATCTTGATGAACCTGGCGGTCAGCAGAGGAAGCGGTCACAGGGGGTTCCGGCGACAAGTGACAGCAACACAAACAGACCACCCTTCACATCAGCCTGGCCTCCTGTCCCCAGGCCAAGCTGCCGTGCTGAGCTCTCTTCTGGTCCCTGGGAAAGGACTGCGACTTTCCTAGCTCTAGTCCACTTCTCTGGCCCGTGACCCGGCCCTTCCTGAAGATGCACCTGCTCTTTCTCTGGCTGCTTTGTTCTCATCTTTAGAGCAGTGTTGACACCTCCGGCTGCACATCATGCGCACCTGGGGGCCTTTACAGAAATATTCTGCCTGGGCACCACCCCAAAGCCGTTAACATCAGAAAGACACCGACATTCCAATTCAGAACGCCAGTACATTCCGGAAACTCTCCGAGTGAATCGGATGAGCAGCCAGAGCCTACCGGCGTCTGCTCATCCACTGTGGGGGGTCACTTCTCTCTGGCTTCCTGCTCTGCTCTCCCTTCTTTCTGGTCAAGCTCACATGTGGGGCCTCTCTCTCACTTCACCCCTTGGGTATCCCCACTCATGCCAGGCCCTTCTCAGAGTCCAGGACATCAGCATGTTTATTTGCCACCTCTGTTCTGGGCTTCTGCACGCATCCCTGCATGTAAAAGCAGCTCAAATCAACTCTGACATTTACATTTTTAAAATTGACTTAATTTTTTTCTATTAGAAAAGTGATACACGCTCAGTGCGTTGAACAGATGAACACAATGTGGCACACCCAGAGCATGGACTAGATCCAGCCAGAAAAAGGAATGAAGCACTGACACATGCTACACGCAGGTGAACCTCGAAAACATTCTGCTCAGTAAAAGACGCCAGACATAAAAAGGCACATATCGTGTGTTGTATTTATATGGAATGTCCAGAAGAGGCAAATCCACGGAGATAGAGAGCAGACTGGTGGTTGCCAGGGGCTGGCAGTTGAGGGGAATGGAGAATGACTGCTTAGTGAGCATGGGGTTGCCTTTTGGGGTGATAAAAGTGTTTTGAAACTAGTTGGAGGTGGTGGTTGCACAGCATTGTGAATGTAATAAATGCCACTGAATTTTCAGTTTACAATGGTTGATTTTATGTTATGTGAATTTCACCTGAATAAAAAAAAATAGTAATACAGGCTCAAGATTTGCAAAATGTATCTAAGTAGAAAGAAGAAAACAGTGACCATTAAGGATCGCCACCTGCAGGTAATCACTAATAAAATGTGGGTGTAGATATTCCTAACTGGGGTGTGGTCCCACAATTTCCAATCTCTCCCCTGGGAGCTGGGGCTCCCTTCACACCTGTCAGCATTTTGTTGAAGTCCCTGTTGCCCACCAGGAAGGCAAAGGAAATTCCTGCGCTTTCTCTCCGTACACAGGCCAAACCTGGACACTGAGGGTGTTTGCTTGGGTTAAACTGTGGAGGTGGACCCGGCAACTCACTTTCCCTTTTTAATTGTGTTCCTGCCCAGTAGAGGGTCCAGCACAGGGTCCACGGTTTCGCCAATGTTCTCGATGAGCAAGGTGTCCCCTTCTGAAATAGCCCGCTCGATGATGTCCAGGTAGCTGTGGGCACAACACAGGAGCCATTTAATGACATAGGGCCTAGCGACGGTGCAATCGCGTGCCCCAAGAGGCAGCCGTCGGAGTGGGAGGGCACTGAGGGAGAGGTGACCGAGGGGCCAATAGTTCATTCCTCTCCACAACTCGTCCTTCCCTGACAGGGCCCAAGGACTTCTGCGTAAATCACCCCTGGGCTCCTGGGAGTGGAGGCAACAACGGAGCCAGCTGCGTTACGGCTGTAGAACCAAACATTTCCTGTCTGTATCTCATCCATCTCCCCAGCACGCTGGGAAGGCGTGCAGGGCAGCCTTTGTTACGGCCATTGTTTCTCATCATCTGATGAGGAAATAAACCACACGAGATGAGAGATGAGAAAATGACCAGCCTGCAGCCTCCCGGCCAGCAAATGGCCAGATAGGACTCAAGCCAGGCCAGGAGCCTTGGTCAGTGCCCCCTCCCTGCAGGAGCAGCAGGTAACAGGGGGAACAGAGAAGAGCCCCGAGCTGAATTCTTTACTGTTGACGCTGTTCCCCAAGGCCTAATGTTAGAAGAAAAAAAAAATCCACCTGCGGGCCAGTATTTAAAGATCCGTCCACCCATTCAACAAGTATGAAACGCCCAGGGTGCGTTTCCAAGCACAGTGGCCATCAAGCCGGCGGCTGCCCTTGGAGCCCCCTCCTAGTTCCGCACCGTCGCGCACCTCTTCTGTCCCAGGCGGATGGCCTTCAGTTGGTCGCCATATTTGTTTTTGATCCACTTGATGCCTTGCAGCTGGGCGTCCACGATGAGGGGCCAGCGCTCTGTGTTGCACAGGATGGTGGCGTTCTCAGTGGACATGCGATCACTGGGGAGGCCCTGGTTGTTCCAAGTGGCCACGTCAGCGTCGTCGGTCAGCAGGCTCAAGGGATCCAGACCCTTCGTGATCGGGATGGGGACCTGCCGAGGGGAAGGGCTCTTCCTTAGAAAGGGTGACATGATCTTATTGCTCTTCCAATAACACAGTGGTTCTGCAGTTAGACAGCGGGCGAGCCAGGCCACGTGGAGAAGACAGCCATTTACATCACCCTGACGAAGCAGCTTGGAACCCGGTCAGAAAGGACATCAGCACTGGCCACACTGAGTCACAGTCTAAACACTGAACAGCCAGGGCCTCAGTCGCAGGAGCGAAGGTGAGATCGGGCTGGGTCTGCCCTGCTGGGGACCTCCCCGCATCTCCTGAGGGACGAACATCACCGTACCTCTTACCTTTAATTTATTTATATAAGGGATCCAAAATTTCTCCATCAGCTCATTCCGGTATTTCTTGGTGAAGTAGCCCACATAGGAGACAAAGGCGGAAATCAGCAGGACGTCCCCGCACAGAGTGACCCCCTGGCTTTTGAAGTTCTGCACCGATTCAGCCCAGCGGACATTTTCTGATGCCAATCCTCCTACCAGCCTGAGATGGGCACACGGGTCAGTGGGGGTAAACAAGAGGAACACGCTTTTGGGCGGATGAGAGGACAGGACTAGAAGACCAGCGTTCACTCCCATGAATCTTCGGAGCTTCAAATCCTTACGTGGCTTAGTGGTTCAACAATGAAAATGCTTTGAGGGAAGTGTTTGGGAATAAATACTTCAGGGAAGCAAAACTAATGCTTTGTGGAGGCACCTGGGAACACCGAGTTTCCCTTCTCCAACACGGACATGTGTCCCTGTCACCTCTACACTGACGACATTGGAGCATTTCACCCACATGCTAAAGCTGCTGCCTGGACACCACTGAGCACACACTTGGGCTAGCGGGAAGTCTTGATAGAGGTGGAGTCCGGGTGGTGGCCACAGAGGCACATGTGGCATCCAGAGGGCACCTGGCCCTGTGTGGAGCAGGGGCTCCAGAGTGTGCATCGTGCTTCTCAGGCCACTGGCCTGAGGACTGGTCCCTGACCCAAAATGGCACACCACGAGTCTGAGAGTGCTGACATAGTTGTTGAAAAGGTAGGTGGCCGATTAGGCCTACTGTGCTCTGTCTGCAACGCCATCTTAGGAGCCCTGACTTCCTAGTGACCAAAAGAGCACTTTGATTTTCTCGGCAGGCGTGGTCAAGGCCCTCAAACCCACAGCAGGGTGATGTCCACACCCCACTGGAGGCCAACCCCATGCAGTATGGGGATTTCCCAGGGTCCCCACGTCAGGCTGACAACAGCCAGTCAGCGGTTGCCAGCCCACTGGGAGGAGAAAACACGACCAGGAGCCTCACCCGAGAACTGACTCCATCTGCCAGGGTCCCGGTGCTCGCTTTCAAAGATGAAAAGAAAGCTCTAAAGCTGTGCTATCCACTGGGGCAGCCGCGAGCTACGCGTGGCTGGTGAGGACTCCAGACGCGGCTGGTCTGAACTGAGACGTGATTGTAGGGGTAACTACACACGGGATTTCAAGGACCCAGAATGAACACATGCATAAAATACCTCATTGATCGTTCTTATATTGATCACACACTGAAATGATCAGATTTTGGGTTAAATAAGATATATTATCAAAACCAATTTCATCTGTTATTTTGTACTGATTTAAGGTGGCGACTGGGAAATTTAAAATGATAGCTTTGGCTCACGTTGTATTCCCACTGGATGGCATTGCTCGAGTCCACATGCATTACATAAACTATAAAATGGACGTGCGCCCTGCGAGGATCCTGGAAACTGGTACCCTATGATGGGAGAGAGTGGGTTACAATGGAGCTCCGCCCAGAGGAGCCCCCTCGGACACAGCGTCCAGGCAGGCCTGGGTTATCCGGGATTCCACTTGGCGAAGGTCCTGTTTCCTGAAGGTCACTGAGTGCACCGGGGTCCACGTGGAAGTGTTACCAGCTCCAAGAGACAGGGACTGTGGTCAATAATTAGTTGTTAGGTTTATCCTCACAACTCTGTGCTCAAAGAGTGAAAGCCGGGACATTGCAGCTTCCCCCTGGGGCTCATTCCTCCTTCTCCCAAGGCCGTTCTACGGGCTCATCCCTGTCAGGGGATCGACAGACAGGAGGGGGCGCGTGGGAGGCGTGAGCTACCTGTTAGCCAGCGAGATCACCCTGTTGGTGGCATCGGCCTCCTGCTGGCACTTGATTTTCTCAGCTGTGGCTTTTTCGAATGCCGACGTTAGGTTGCTCAGGTTGGCATTGAGTTCCTGGAAGAACAAGACGGAAAGGCCCTGAAATTGAGCAATGCGAGGCATTCCCAGCCCCCCGGGGGCAAGAGTGGCCGTGCCCTGTGAGGTTGGGCAGCCCGCTGGGGCACCAGAGCCTCGGACGCAGAGTGGCCTCCTGGCCTGATCCCGTCCCTACAGCGGCCTGCCTTCTCTTGCGCTGCTTAATAATTCACGACGGCGGGCCGGGCCAAGCCCTTTGACACAGAGATGTGGATCGGCAGCATAAGCAGGTGGCTTTGGTGTTTACTCGGATGGGAGCGCGCACTTACAGCAATCTTGTTCTTGATCCGGGAGAGCTTCTCTTGCGCCTCTGCCAGTTCTGCATTCGCCTCCTCCAGGGCCTGCCTCTTGGGGGCCACATCGCAGTAGACCTCATAGAAACGCACGATATTGATGCACCAGGAGCACAGGCCCGCGGCGGCCGTGGACTTGGAGCGAATGAACTCGGGGTCAAATGTCGGATTGCCTTGGTAGGGCCTGGAGAGGGAACAGCGGGGCGGCGCTGGCGTGGGTGCTGCAGGATGCAGGCCTTACGTGGTTCTGTCTCCCAGCCTCCAGTTCTGCATCTGTGCACTGCTCTGGCCGCCGATTACAAGCAATAGTAGTGGGAGCATATTGAGCTTTTTTTTTTTTGGTATCTTAATGATTACAGAAAGAAGAAAATATAAAACGCAAAATTCTGTCCCTGAAGTAGAATTTGGGGTGTGAAGTGGAACGGAAAGTAGTGATTTAAAGGCCTATGTTCTAGATGGAGGAAGGAACCAGCATTTTTGATCCTCTCTGTTCCTACTGCTTTCTGTAGCTGGTCTCATTTTCCTTCTCCAATAACTCCTCTCAGAGGCAAGAAAACTGCGTCAGAAACTTGCCCAAGGTAACAGCAACAGGGAGAGGTGGCACCAGGTTTTCCTCACTGAGTTCTCAGGCTGGGCGCCGGGTGTTGGCGCTGTCCTGAGTGCTTCCCAAACGTGAGCTCCCGCAGCCTGCTCCCACGCTGCCGGTGTACTCTAGGGGAGCAGGCCCAGAGAGGCTGAGCGTCTCTCCCAAGGTGACACAGCTCGGAAGGGGCAGTGCTGGGATTCATGCTGAGTCAGGGGGCCCTAGAGCACCCCCCGCACCCCCCCCAGCCCCCCGCCCCGCTCCACTGGGCCACTCCTGCCTCCCCAGGGCGTGGCACCAAGTTTTCCAGGATCAGCACAGTGAGGCGAAGGCTCTGACGATGAGACTTAAAAGAGACGACACTGCAGGCGTCATCTTACACCGCGACCAGGAAAAATGCCCCAGATGCAGTTTAGATGCTCTAGAAACTAGTATTTTTAAAATGACAACAACATCGTTAAGCATAACAAACTGAGCTATCGGCAGAAAGGATTTTGAATGGATGATTCAAAGTAATCATTCGAAAGCGATTTGAATTTAAGTCTGAATGCAGCCATCCTGTCCTCCCATGGTTTATTTTCTGCTTTGTCCAGGCTAATATCAAGATGGGCTTGCATCTTTTAAACACACACCAGACAGTGAGGATGGGGTAGGGAGGCAGTCAAGAAGTTTGCTGGGCGACAAGGAGAAGACATCCATCAGAGCATTATTTATGATGGGGAAAGTGGAGACAGCCTAAATCCTCTACGGTGCGGGACTAGTGAGTAAATTATGGTTCGTCTGTGGCAAGATCATACAACAGTTAAAAATCAAGTTGAGGAAGTGTCTTAATAACATAGGGAAAAGTTGTGGGTTTTTTGGGGAGAGGAAGATCAGCCCTGAGCTAACATCCATCCCTACCTTCCTTTACTTTCTATGTGGGACGCCTGCCACAGCATGGCTTGACAAGTGGTGTGTAGGTCCTTGCCCGGGATCCGAACGTGCAAACCCTGGGCCGCCGAAGTGCAGCCTGCAAACTTAACCACTGCGCCACTGGGCCAGCCCCAAGGGAAAGTTTTTTTCTCCCCTTGACAATGTTAAGTAAAAAATAAAAGCAGAACAAATAATTGCATGTGTACAATATTAGTTCAACTATGGAAAAAAAACCTTTAGAAAAAAGACTGAAAGGAAGTACCCCAAATGTTGATTGAAGCTGCTCCCTGGTGGTAGGCCTGTGTTTTTCTTGTCTTTTCTGTTACACTTTAAACTAGCCTTTGTTTATCAAACATTTTTCAATTGTCCAACCCTCTTCCTCCACAAATGGGAGCTGGGAGATGTTTGGGTCTCACTTGGGGTCAGTGGGGTCATGAGGTGTGACTCTCTTTCTCAGTCAGGGTCAGGTGGACCCTGAAATTGGATTGCCAGGGGATGGCCAGGCAAGGAGCCACATGAGATGAAGAACAGTGGGTCTGGAGTGCCTACAAATGGCGTGCCTCTTGAGTGCTGGCGCCATGGACTGCATGGGGTAAATCGTAGAAGGCCCCCTGTACACCCTTCCCAAGTCCCACCCCTACCCCGGAGATAACACTGCCAGCCCTGTTGGGTGTGTCCCTGCAGATGTGGTGCATTTACAGTGAGACCAGTGAAAAGAAGAAAAGATGCACAACAGAGCCCGAGCCAGTAAACGCTCACTCTGCATGTGTGTACAGGTGTGCATACAGGGGTGTGCACCGTGTGTGCACGTGTGCCCAGCTGTTCTTGCAGGACAGGCCTCTGGGCCCTGTCCGGCCTCTCTCATTGTCCTATGGGCCCAAGGGTTTCCTGTGGCTGCACTTGTCCCCTAGAGTCCTGAAGGGCTGTGTGACGTATTCCTAGGCCCCTCCTGTGTGCTGCGTGGGGAAGGGGCTGCCTGGATTTTGAGCCACAGGTCTTTCCACCTGCCCTGACTCCTCCAGGTGGGGGAGACAGAGGGTGATGGGGCTCCCAGGAGCCTGGGACCACACTTCACCACGACACCTGGACAACTCAGGTGCAGCCAGATTGGCCCAGACCGCCACCGGCTATCTTAGGGGTTCCACCTTGCTCCATGCAGCCCAAGACCCTGCCTCAACCCCAGCAGGCACAGGTTCCCTGGGGAATGCACTTTGCAGGGCCAGGGGCCGGCGGGAGGAGATTCTGGGACCACACAGCGCTTGGATTTAACGCGCTCCCAACCAACCCAAGAACTGAACAGAACCCTCCAGCGCGGCCACGCCCTGACTCACTTAAAGGCTTTCAGGCAGGCCTCAGGGATGTGCTCCTTGTCAAACTTTTTCAAGGAGTCCAGGAAGGTGTCCACTTTGCCCATCATGATCTTTGCAGCTTTCCAGCTCTTGTCCTTGGGGATCTTGCCCCCGGGTGCAGTCAGGATCATGACAGCGGCCGTGACATTGACCACGGCGTCTGGGGGGGACCCGAAGGACTTCAGCTCTGTCAGGTTGTTCTGCAAACGACAGACAGACAGGACGGACCTGAAAGGGGATTTAGCCCTCCGAGTGGGACCTGGTGGCCCTGGGGACGACCCTGGGGAAGCCGCTGTAAGCTCCACTTGAGCCAACTGCCTGGTGATTCCTCTCCACCCAGGCTGGTCTTGTTTCTTCTTTCTCTCGCTCACCTTATTCAGAGTGTCAAGAGCTTCCTGCGCGGCCAGCAGGGCCGGCTCTGCCTTGGCCAGGTCCGTTTCACAAGCCTTTTGTTTCTCAGTGACATTCTGGAAGGAAGCCAGATAGGAAAGATCAGTGCAGGCGGTCTGTCTGGGTGACCACGTGTAGGGGGAGGCCTCCACCCCCCATGCAGCCCAGGTCCCAGCAGGTCTGAGCTGTCTAAGAGGCCACATCCCCCTGCAACCCGCCTCCCTTCACGCCCGCTCCGTCACGGTGTGGAGCCTGCCTTTCTCCTCTGCCCCTGTCCCTCCACACACCAGGTCAGAATGAGCCCCGAGACAGCAGACTTGGGATTCAGGAATGGTAAATGGTCCTTCTATTGGCTCCAGCTTCCAGAACTGGAGGGGAAACCTGGGGCCACGCAGACCACCCCTGGCATTGAGGCCTATTGTCTTTTGGTGCCATTGTGTAATCCCTCCAAAATGGAGCAGTTCAGAAGTGTAGCTTGTCCTGCCCTTGAGAAGGTGAGAACATCTTCATTCACACATGCATGCATTCATGCATTCATTCACTCTCTGGGCCAGGAAGAACCCCTCCAAGCCTTCGGATGCCAAGCAGAGAGATGAGTAGAAGCTTGGTATCCATCAACAAGGAGCATCATCTGTGTGATAATAGAGGCAATGAAGAGGCCAGTAGGGGCTGGGGACTTTGCTAGGCACAGAGGAGGGACAGAAAGGAGGGGATCTCTCTGAAAGACCCGAGATTCCTATTCCATACCCTACTCTAGGGACAATGTGGGACATGACTAAGGGAGTGGGGCATGGAAGGCACTGACTCGGCCGGCTGTGCTAGGGGCGGCACCCAGCACTTCTTCCCTGGAGCATCCCTGAGTGGCCATTTCTGGGTGCAGGGGTTGGAGAGGGGCAGGGGCCCAGACATTAACAGCTGCATGTGAGCATCGGACAGCAGGCCACAGAGTTCAGGGTGTGGGCATGGGTCCTGGCTCGGACCCTGACTATGCCACTAGCTAGTTCTGAGACCTTGGGCACGTTGCCAACCACTCCAGGCCTCAATGTCCTCATCTGCCTAACAGGGTTGTGGTTGTGCAGGTTATGGTGAGAAATGGAGCAGAGCTCCTGGCCACACCGCCTGGCCTAGGCACCCTCTCCACTCCAGCACCAGGTGGGAACAGCTCCAGCCCCTCCTCCTGCCCAAGGCATAGAAAGCACTTGCTGGCCCACAGTCCTCCATCTCAGGGGATGGTAGACAATGACTGGGACACTCTTAAACACTCACAAGGACACACGACTGATGACACAAAAGGCACACAGGGAGGGGTGATGAGAAGTCAAACCAACAGCGACATGGACCTTCAGCTAGGAGCCCACCCTGGCCAGTGACGTGGGAACCTTGGGGGCCTCCCGGTGCAGCAAGTCTGAGGACCAACACTCCAACACAGTCTTCTCAAGCCTTAACGTCCTCACGGGTCACCGGCCCCTTGTTAAAGTGCAGACCCAATTCAGCAGAGCCTGGCCGGGGCCCAAGACCCTGCATTGCTTACCAGCTCCCGGAGATGCCACACCGTGGCCTGGGGACCGCACTTTGAGGGGCGCGGCTCCAGGATGGGCACTTCTCTAAAGGACAGCCCTCTTCAGAGCTGGGGGCCCTGCGCTTGGGAGAGATGTCCTCCCTCCGGGGGTCCCAATGGTTTGGGAATGCCCTCAGCCTCTGCTGGGCCTGTAGGAGACAGTGACCACCCTGGGTGGTCCAGCAGCAGAGCTGCAGGCAGAGCTCTCCTGAAGCCAGGCCTGACTGCGTACCTTGTTGATGACCTCCACCTTGATCTCCTCCTCGTCAGCAATGGCTTTCTCTTTGCTGACCTTCTCGGTTTCCACCCCCACCACGTGGATCAGCTTGTCTGCATTCTCATTTTTTTGCTTGAGCTCAGCCTCCTGAACCGCCAGCTTGGCTTTTAAATCATCCACCTAGGGGAGGAGACAGCACGAGATGGGCAAGCTCGGGCCCCGCCCACCACATGCTGCCCTCCTCTCAGGTGGGCCGGTGGCCACGGCAGCCACGGGCCGAGCAGAGCAGCAGGGCTGTCAGTGGCTTATGACTCCCTGTGACTCGTTTCAACATGTTTTTTCAACTTCTCCAAGGTAAGTATTTATTGAGCACCAACTGTGTATCCAGGGTCGTAAGTAAAAGACACATTCCTATTGCTCAGCGAGTTGGCACTCAAGGTGGCCGGATAAAAATATGTCTGTGGAGTCACGGTGCCAAGGGTGCGGGGAGGCCAGTGGGGCAGTGAGCCAGGGTCACAGAGCTCCCTCGGGAGCACACGGGAGGCCCTGGCCTGGCCAGGCGGGAGGGTGTGCTGGGAAGTAGTAAGCGATGGGTGAGACATTCTTCCCCATTCTTGATGCCGCTCAGTTGCTGTAACCCTCCTCGCCTGGGGGGCACTCACTGTCCCAGGACCATGTCTGGAAGGTACACTTGGGAAAAAGAAACGGCCTCCTGGGCTGAGCTCCTCCCTGTTCCTCTTTGAGCGAGCTGTCTGGAGCGGGAGCAGGCTCCTTCATGGCTCCTCCAAGCCCTGTCTTCCTTGGACAGCCCCCACCACCATGTTCCCCTTCCCGCCCCCATAGGGGGTGGCCCTGACCCGTCCAGCACGGTCCAGCACTGCCTGTGGCTGAAATAAGCCAGCCCGGCTCCGGTTCAGCAGGGCTTCCGCTAGAGCTGGGGTTGGGTTCAGGCTCCCTCGAGGGCAGAAGGGCAGGGCAGCCCCTGACCCTGTGCCCTCACCGCGCTCCTTGGCTGGCGAACGCCTCAGGCAGGGAAGCAGCGGCTGTTTCCCAGGCTCCCTGGCAGAGGGAGTAAAGACAAAGAAGCCGAGACTACGGCACGGAGGATATTTAAAGCCAGGCAGAAAATTTAAAAATCGATATGGTGTGAAACAAAGTATGGTGGAAGCCTTTCGATTGGGGCCCCACAGCATGAATGGCATTTTGGAACAGATGCACGTTGATTGACGGCACTTGACCAAATAAGCAAATCCCACTGGCCGCGGGGCCGATGTAGAGCACCCAACAAGACACCAGCACTACGGAAGTGTTCTGAATCTATTTTTCATAGTAAAACCTGTACATGCGGGGCCGGCCCAGTGGCGCAAGCAGTTAAGTGTGCGTGCTCTGCTGCAGTGGCCTGGGGTTCGCAGGTTCGGATCCCGGGCGCACACCGACACACTGCTTGTCAAGCCATGCTGTGGCGGCATCCCATACAAAGTAGAGGAAGATGGGCACAGATGTTAGTGCAGAGCCAATCTTCTTCAGCAAAAAAAAAAAAGAGGAGGACTGGCAACGGATGTTAGCTCAGGGCTGATCTTCCTCACAAAAAAAACACAAACCCGTACATGCTCTCTGGTTTAAGAGTAGAAGTTTCTCCAAGGCAGGAATCCTGTTCATCTTACTTTATTTCACACGTGTGAGGGAAGGTTCTGGAACCCGCCCCCAGAGCACCTGTCTCTCCTACCTGAGAAGCCGTGCTCTGCAGTTTCATCAGGCCGTTTTCCAGCCTCTCGATTTTGGCGACCAGCTCCATTCTCTTCCTGGCCAGCAGGTTCTGGTAGAGCTTGATCTGCTCCAGAAAGGTTTTAGGCGTGGTGTAGTTGTAGCGCCTCTCGGTGGCCAAGTACACCTTGGACATCTCGTTGACGGTGGTGTGCACGTAGGACATGAACAGGCTGATGGAGGTCTTGACTTCTGGCTACAAAGACAAGACGGGCCTGTTCTTTCTTGGTTCCCTGGTGGGCGCGACCCCATTCCTGCAGGGCCCCAGGGAAGAGGAGGCTGTTGGCCACGGTGAATCAGCAAGGTGGGGCTTCCCTTACTCGCCGGGGCTCTTGATGAGCTGCACCCCCTCTCTCAACGTCGGCCATTCAACCGTCAAATGAGACAGCAACACCTGCTGGGGCTGTCGTGGGCGCCGGTGGCACTGCCCCGCCTTGGGGTTAGCTCAGTGCCTGGGACACAGCAGAGTTCACTGCTGTTATTATCTCTCTGACTCACACATGCTCACACTGTTGCACACCTGGGAAAGCACACAGGGCCCAACCACAGGTTTGAATAACCTGGGTAATTCTGCAAGCACTTATCGTGCACTTCCAATTCCGGGTCCTGGGGTTTAGTAACTCCTTTCCCAGCCTCCTCTGTCCTCGGTCCACACCAGGGTCACGGCCTCCACCCTCTGGACCTGCCCTACCTGCCTGAAGACATGCAATGGGGGCTTTGCCCCAGGAATTGTCCAAGCAATATTCATTTCAATTCAGGCTAATTTGGGAATGTGTTCATCCAACACATGCTTCTTCGGCATCTACTCTGCGGCCCTCACTGGTGCCAGCAGTGGGGCCATTCCCCGCTCCTGAGGGCCCCTGTCTTGGGGACTGAAACCCGCAACTGAGCCCCGAGGGAAAGGTCCTCACTGCAGGTTCCCAGGAAGGGCCGTCTCGCAAGCGAACACTCTAACGATGACAAGCGGAGGATTTTACCCATGTTAAAAACGAGGGAAAAAGTTAACTTCAGGTTTCTTTTATCCTACTTCATAAATGAATATGTGTTCAAAATACATAAAACATGATAACAACGTATAATTTATCCCCGGGCCGCTCATCACTCGCACTGGCTGGGTCAGAGTTCAATGGTCATTTCTAGGGGCAATTAGCTCAAACAGCAAAGTGGGCACTATCCTTCAATTAAAAGAAAAGACACTGCAAAAGACAAGAAAAGGAGACATATGGCCCCATCACACTTGTCACGCCCCATCAAAAGGGCAGGTCAGGGATGAGGGAGCAGCCCTGGGCAGAGCCGCGTTGGAGCCTGAGGCAGGACAAAGTGTGCGCCCTGTACACACCCATCGTAGTGAACACAGCCTCTCCGGTCAGCTCCCATCAGGGACGGAGTTTAAGGCCTGGGTTGCTCAATGTCTTTGCACGCAGGCATCAACCCTCTTGAATGGCCACGGCCGCGTGGGCCAGGCACCCTGGGCTGAGTGACATGACCATCCCCTAGCACAGTAATGCCGGGCCGTGAAACAAACAAACAGCAGCCTGCCTTTGTTTATAGTTCTGATATTTTGTTCATTGTGAATGTTTCAGCATTAATATTGATTTTTTAAAAATACTGTGTAAAAAAGTCACTGATCTTGATGACTGAGGTTTTGAGGGCCCCCTTAAATTTTGTGCCCAAGGCGAGTCCCTCACCTGCCTCACCCTAATCCCGGCCCTGGATGCAGATGACCCCGATCCGTCTCTCCCATGCAGCCAGTCCTCCCGGCTCTGTGAGTGCCGGCACTGAAGGTGGCAGAGGAAGCCGGGCCCAATGACTCACCGGAATCCCCTCGGTTTCTTCCAGGAAGCGGGCACTGACGGACACCAGGGCGTCTTCTGGCCACTCATGGAACCAGTTGATGGCCGTGCAGTTGACCACAGCAGGGAATTTTCTTGCTCGAACACGTAGGACAGAGCCCACAGGGGAGAAACACAGAATCACCTAGATGAGGGACACAGATGAGCCGCTCATTGGGGGATGGCAGTGCTGAGGCCAAATCATGTCACCTCTGCAGAAAGTCCATGTAGAAGGAAAAGGCTCTGCAGGGTCTCTGTCTTCAGATGTCTGGGGAGCACATTCCTGGTTCTGAGTTTGAGGTGTGGCCATTGCTTCACAGTGGATAAATGCCCAACTGACTTTACAACTCTCACTAGTGATGTGAGGGTGCAGGGGTAAGCCCCAAGCCCTCCTGAAGTGGCCCCCACAAAGGGAGACGGAAAAGGTGGATGGAGGATGGAGTGGGGAATGGGCATCCGTGTTGAGCAGATGAGGCCAGGGGCGGGAAGGGCTACAATCTCTGTAGCAGGTCTGGTCCCCGGGGACATGGAGCCTCCTCCAGGCCCCCAAGGATGGTGGCTGTCCCCAGCCAGGCCAGGACTCCCTGGGCTCCCAGCAGTAGAAGGTGCTGTGGAGACAGGCCCTGGTTTCCCTTTTGCTGGCAACTCCTTCTCGTGGAAGCCTCAGGCTCCCAGCCCCCTCCTCGTTCTGTGGTCCCTTCTTCCATGAGTACAGCAGTTGGCTCACTGGACGTGGCTGTTCCACTGACAAAGAGCCAGGCAGAGCACCGAGGAAGGAGCCGGGCGCAGGGAACATCCACCAGGGGACTCTGTTAGATCCCAAATCATATTCACTGATTGGACTGTGTAACCCAGAGAGGGGACGTAAAGAGGAAACTTGCTTTATGTGCATGAAGCAGGGAAAAATGGTAGCCAGCAGGTACCTAGAAGGGCTATGGGGTTGGACCCTCCCAAAGGGCAGCACCACCAGGCCAGGGACAGCCGCCCTTACGGGACACTGACGAGGAGGGAGAAAAGGCTCCAAACAGCTCTCAGTCTAACTAGGGTGGTTCAGCCTACTTTCCCTAAGAGGGAATGTTCAAGGTCAGGGTGCACTTATCTATTTAAACTTGCTGGGGGTGGGGCTGTATATAAAACACTTCTTTTGGCAATGAGACACCTCCAACGGCCCACATCCCTCAGGCAGCACCCCCCACTCTCCCAGCAGATTTCCACAGCCTGTGAGGTGACAGCCCCACCTCTGCACAGAGCAAGGCCCGGAGCCGGGAAGGCAACGGGCACCACGTCGGGCTCCGGGGACCCTGCGAAGATGAGTCTCCTACCTTCAGCTGCCTGCGCACTTTTTCAATGAAGAATTTCCAGCATGCTTCCCGAGTGTCGGTTGTGCCAAGGGACTTCACTTGCGGTCGCATGGAGGAGATGATGTTCTCCACCTCGTCCTCCATAAACAGCCCCGGGATCTCCCCCGAGGCCAACAGGTCATTGATCAGCACCAGGAACTGCTCCTCGGCCACCTGGGAGTCTGTCATCAGGAACACTGAGGGAACGTTCTTCACGGCCGACTTGATGTACTGGGCGGCCAGGTCAACCTGGACCCGAGGAGGACACGCTTAGGGTCCTTGCCAAGAAGATGCTCGTTTAGAAGCACCCCCCACAACCATCCAGGAAGGGACACCTGGAGATCAACTTTGTAAGATATGTGCAGGGTCTGTAGAAAGAGATCCAAAACCTCAAGTGGAGAACACCCACGCTCACAGCAGCACTATTCACAACAGCCCAAAGGTGGCAACACCCAGAGTGTCTGTGGACAGACGACGGATAAACACAATGGGGTCCATTCATACAGTGGAGTATCACTCGGCCTTAAAAAGGAAGGAAATTCTGACACTTGCTACAAGGATGAACCTTGAGGACATTACACTCAGTGAAATAAGCCAATCTCAAAAGGACAAATACTGTATGATTCCACTTACACGAGGTCCCTAGAGCAGTCAAATTCATTGAGACAGAAAGTAGGATGGTGTGTGCCAGGGGCTGGGGGAGGAGGATGGGGAGTGAGTGTTCACTGGGGACAGAGTGTCAATTTGGGAAGATGAAAGAGTTCTGGAGATGGATGGTGGTGATGGCTGCACAACAATGTGAATGTACCTAATGTCACTGAACTGAATAGTTAAAATGATTAATTTTGTGTTATGTGTGTTTTACCATGCACAGAAAAAGGAAAAAAAAACTCTCGAATGGGCACCCTAAAAAAGGCCCTGAATAAATCACCACAGTCCTGGATTGGCAGACTTAATATTGGAAAGAAGGAACATTCCTCAAAGGAATCCCTACACTTAAGGTAACTCCTATCACATTACTAGTAGGATTCAAAGAAATAACTCAACAAAATAATCGCATGGTTGTTCTGGAAGAATAAATGAAGGAGATCAGTGAAAAAAAAAGATATGTTACAGAGTAGTATGAATAGCTTGCTATTTTTGAAAAATACACCAATTTACATGTGTAGATTGTAAATATACACTAAAAATGTCTGTCAGTGTCATCTAGTATTAATGTGAATTTTCAGGGTTTTGGTGATTTCCTTATCTATAATGCCTGATTTTTCTAGAAGACCTGTGTGCCAATAAAAGGCTCAGCTCTGCCCTTTGAGAGCAGCCCACCTCCCTGCCATCTCTGTTCAGAGAGGAACATCTATCTCAACGTCACCGAGGTCCCTGAGCTGGAGTTGACTGGGGTGTAACTGGGGTCAAAAGCAAGCCTCCAATTCCATGTTTTTCGACAAGCTAAAAAAACAAGTCAAAGGGAACCCTGAGCTTGGAAAAGCATAGGTGGGAGTCCAGCAATGCTGCACCCTTGCTCTCAGCCTCCAAGGGGGTCCCACTGTCAGAGTCAGAAAGAATTGCTCTTCTCAGCTCACAGTCCTATCACGTGCGTTGGCTGGAGGCTGACAATGCCAGAATTCGTGACCTATATCGAAAATTCGGAGGCTGAATTGTACGCGTGGGCCCAGCGGCCATCCCTGGGGAGGCGGAAGGAGAGCAGGCGGTGATTCAAGTCAGAAGGCAGCTTCTGGCAGGTGGGGACCACAAACGCCTGCGTCCTCAGGCAAACCGCTGAGGGTTCTTCACGCCTGCAGTTGGCACGACCGGATGGAAAGCTGCAAAGTTCCACCAGGTTCAGATTCCGAAACAGGTTAGGCTTGCTAAGGCAAGGGATACAGCTTGGAGAGAGCGAAGCTAATTGCTGCAGGATCCAGGTCAGAGCAGAAGATTCTGGAAAGACTGATGGCCCATCAAGGCCTAGGAACGGGGCTAAGTGGCTTCACTTGTGGAAGATGGCGTTCCTCAGTCTTGCGGCTCCTCTTCTGCTGCACCTTCTCCTCTTGCCCTCTCTCTTCAGCTCCTGCCCCCGGGCTCTCTCCTCTGCGCCCCCGGGAGAGCCTGCTGCAGCCCAGACCACAGGGCCTTCCTCAGCTGTCCCACCTGCCTGGATTCTCTGTGACCTTGATCCCACCATCTTTAAGCTCCACCTTCTCGGGCCTTCCCTGCCACACCTTCCCACCGTGGCACTCACTCCGTCCCTGCCGACCGCTGCTCTGTGCTGTGGTCCTCATCCTGCCCACCCCAGGGATTCCGTCTCGCCTGCACCTGTTCCTTCTCTCTTGCACAGTCTCCCCCACTCCCAGCCTCCTAGGCCACTGGGGCCTGTCCCAATATCTCTACTTCCCACCTTTTCCTGCACTTTCCAACCTCTATATCCACTCGAGTGTTGGCCGTCTCTTGCCAGTATCCCCTAAGTTCCTCGGACGGCCACACACGCGACACAGCATTCATTATCTCGGTTTCTCCCGGCACCTGCATCTTGGCTGCCTTCGCCCCAGCCAAGTTCTCCACCGACCTCTTCATCTCCTGTCTGGTTGAGGGCGCCATCAGGCTAGTAATTGCTCTAGCTGCGAACGTCATCGTCTGCTCCAGAAGCTCAGCTCCTGCGGGGCCCTTCTCACTCACCATGAAGGAGGAGGGGGCAGATCTGGACAGTCACACCCAAGGATGTTAATGATCGCCTGCACCTAGTGCATCTAGGGATCAGCGTTAATGGAGGCGGCACACGCTCCCCTCTCTGGCTAGAGCATACTTCAGAGGCCCTTTCCTCACTGTAGCCATTGCCATTGCCGGTAGAGAGGAGCAAGATTTGGGAGTGAGTCTCAGGGAAGCGGGAGGAAGGGGTGTGGCCAGGGGTGTGAGCTGGACAGTGAGCTTTCATCACAGGCCACATAAACACAAGGTCCAGCTCCGACCTCCTCTTGGTCTGATGGCCACTCCCCGCCCCTCACTGTTCAACCTTTGCTGGAAGTCAGGGAGGCCACCTGGGCTGCTTAGACCACAGGCCGGCCCCTCACTCAGCTTCAAGGCCTTCTCCATGGGTTCCGACCCAGCTCTCTGGGCTACTTCTTGGGCCTTGGGAAAGGTCTCACGGGACTAAAATGCACGCCACTTCCTGGCCTGGGGACTGTGTGTGGGGGTGGGGCACGGGGAGCTGGGATCAGTGGGTGGGATCCCAGCGATGCCCCCACCTCCACACACTCCTATGGGGTAGGCAGAGGCCTCGCTGGCCCACTGCCTCACTCTCGCTCACATCTCTCCCTTCTCCCTTCTTACTGCACCGCCCAGTTCCAGCCTTTGTGGGGTCAGCGGGGCTCTGCGGCACCTCCTCACCAGTCACCCTGCGGCAATCTCTGCCGTCTTCAAACCACCCTCCACTTTGTTTCAGGACACCACCAGGTCTTGCCCCTCCTCTGCTCCAACATCTTGATGGCATCTCATTTTCTCAGAACCAAGTCCAGGATTTTCCACGTGGCACATGATGTCCCCCGGGGTTGGATCCCGATCCCTTTCCTGCCGCATCTCTAACCTTCAGTGGGCGCCCAAAGATGATGGAAGGGATTTTATAATATAATATATATTACATAATCGTGAGCATACATGTTACACTAATATACATATACATATAACATCTCACTGTGACACTATTATTAGAGCAATTATATCTTGTAACTGTTCAGGAGTCTGCTTCCCCTAATACATGCAAGGTCCGTTAGTCCTGTTTCTCTCTGGCTTTACTTCCAAATCCACAGAAGCTGCTTAATAAATGATAACAAATGATTGGTGCAGAGCCAGTTCACTGTGGGTGTAGGAGTAATGAATTGTGAGAGAATGGATCACAGAGCTGCTGCAGCTAATGCCTTTGAGTAAAATAATACTGTTAAGACTGAACACCCGCCACTGGCCCTAAAGTGAGGTATCAGGAACAAAATCCTCATAAGGACAGAGCAAACAGCATGATGGAATCACGAAAATAAACCATTACTATTTAGCTAATAGAATAGAAACTTTTCAACAGAGAAAACTCAGTAAAACCATACAGCTCTAGATGTGAGGATTCTAGCTACACTTGACTGCCCTTGGGGAAATCAACGTGAACTAACTGAATTGGCCAAGCTGAGAACCAGGCCGATTCAGCTCAGGAGGCAGTGTTTGTGAGAAGGCGTCTCCCGGTCTCTCCGAGATAAGGAAGACCTTTCCCTTAACACCGCGATTTAAAAATACAGTTGGCTAGTCCCTTGATAGAAAGAGTAGAATGCACTGGGGACAATGACAACCAGAAGCCGGACGCCTACCTGAGTTACTGTCCCTGGCACAGCCCACTGGGCAGTGCTGGGAGAGCAGGACTGAGAATTAGCTCTTTGTCCCCATTGTCCTTCCCCAGGCCTCTGCCTGCAGACCACCCCCTCCCGCCGAGATCCCAGGCGCCGAGCTCTGGCAGGGCTCCAGATCTGTCCAGCGAGAGCTGCCAGGCCAGGGCTGCCTTGGGGCCATGTGGTGTGGGCAGGGTCCCCCTGGGTCTGGCACTGTCCTGGCCCACAGAAGCAGCCTCAGCACCAAGGCAAAGAGAGACACGCCCATGTGACGTGGTCAAATCATTTCACTTCTAATCTGAAGCACTGTGATGACTTGCTCTGGACTAATCATGTTTGACTAGCACACAGTTCCCTGAGAGAGCAAGTTTTCAGGAAAAAGAAATCAATAAAAAGCCTTGGTGGCATGTCTTGTGTCTTGGGATGGGAGACCTCTTTACGCTAACGTTTATTTCATTAATTCAAAAAGCAGCCACCCAAAGCCCCAGGCATGTAGTTAGACACCTAGCAATGGTTCTGAATGATTTAATCTGGAGAACTGGGAACAATGCAGAACGATGCGGTAACCAGGGGCCCGAACCAAATCCCTTTGCTGCTATCACCCGTGTTGACTTTATGGACTCAAATCTCCCAGGTAATTGAGACCCACACTTCTTTTCACCTTCATCACTTGGACATGGGCGCTGGCCAAAATGTCTCCTGGCCTTTCCTTTCTTTTTTTTTGTTTTGTGAGGAAGATCAGCCCTGAGCTAACATCCATGCCATTCCTCTTCTTTTTTTTTTTGTTGCTGAGGAAGACGGGCTCTGAGCTAACATCTATTGCCAATCCTCCTCCTTTTTTTCTCCCCAAAGCCCCAGTAGATAGTTGTATGTCATAGCTGCACATCCTTCTAGTTGCTGTATGTGGGACGCGGCCTCAGCATGGCTGGAGAAGCGGTGCGTCGGTGCGCACCTGGGATCCGAACCTGGGCTGCCAGTAGCGGAGCGCGTGCACTTAACCGCTAAGCCACGGGGCCACTGGCCTTTCCTTTCTAAGACGAAGAGCCCACTGGTGGCATTCGGATTCTCTGTGCTGGCTGGCATCATTTTGGAAATGGGAGTGGTGAGAGTTTTCTCTGCTTCCCCTCCCCAAAGGAGGCTTACTGAAAAGCGACGTCTCACCTTGAGGTCTGGGATCCCGTAGCCCTTCTTGAGGGTGATCTGAAACACGTCCAGGGCACTGATGTAGGCGGCCAGGCGCGAGAGGCTCTGCTTGCCACTGCCGCCCACCCCCACCAGCAGGGCATTCCCCCGGGGAGACTCCAGAATGCGATTGATCCTGCAGATGTGAGCCACCGCATCTTCAAACAGCACCTGGAGAGACCAAGAGACGCCTCGACATTGCACCACGCATGGACTCACCTCCTTCCACAGCACAGAATCTCCCCAGCCCCTAGCAGCGCTTGCCATGAGTCACGCAGCCCCCCAGTGCCACTGAGATGTTCACAACGAGACAGAAGAAGAAATCCGTGTCCAGGCCCCTTGCCCATGCTGTCAGCTCGAGCACCACTCACCAAGTTCATGACTGCATTGACTTCATTGTAACTGTCTAGGACGTCCACTAGGAGCTTGTTCAGATGAGCCGTGTCGGTTACCGAGAGGTATTTGGGATCCCCAATCCCTTGAGCAAAGTGGCAGAAGATATTCGGTTTGGCAAATAAGAGCTCATCACCAAGATCCTAGAAATAAGAGATGAGATGCTTCTGTTGTTTGCCACCACGGACACAGATAATTAACAGCAGCCCCAGCACCTTATCACGGTCACATCAGGATGCCATGCCAAGTCTTCAGGGGTGCAAACCACTACTGCCAGGGGACCTGCAAACCGCTGGGCAAAATTCCCTGGTGAGATGGTCCTATCCCCATCATATCAGGAATGAACTGATCATCCAAAAAAAGCATTCCGTCAAGAAAACCCAGGACACAGCAGTGGAGCACACTGACCCAAGCAGGGCCATTTCTCCAGTCTAAGTGGATGGAGTGAGGGCACCACATCCTGATCTACCAAGGGGTCAATTTCTTCTCACTAAGACGCACACCCACATGACAGAGTCATTTTGTGGGGCCCAACGTGGTCCTCCCCACCCCCACCCAAGGGCCCTTCCAGGAGGGCTGGGGTTATCACCGGCCCCAGACACTCTGCCCACTTGGTGCCTTTCGGGGCTCAGCAGAGGGACTTGGTGGCTTGACTTACGTCAAAGAACTTCTTGGTGGAAGCAATGGTGATTCTGCGCAATATTTCCTGGTCTTTCTCATCGACCATTTTGTCGCCGTACACTCTTTCAGCTTCATGCAGCCAGAGGCGAACGAGGTCAAGTGGGGTTTTCAGGACCTCTGCTGTGGAGAATAAGAGTCCCTGCCCCAGACACAGGATGGTCAGCATCTTTAGCTAGGTTATGAGGCAAGCCAAGTGCTGTATGTAGATGAAACGAGAAAACGGGTAACTTCCCCAGGGAGTAATCCACTAAGGTGCTGATGCAATGTCCACTTGGGGCCAGGGAAGCCACTGATTGCCAAGGCCATGCAAATCCTGGAGACTGGAGGGTGTGTCTGTGGCCTGAGAGAGGTGGGGGAATTTTCCTCATAAGAGAGGGCTAAGGGCTTCATCCTCTCATAGGGTGGATGGTGGAGAAGGGACAAGAGAGGCTGATCATTGTGGGGAGCCAAACTATCAAAGGCCACAGAGCACTGGGTTACAAGCTTGGGCTCTGCGGGAAGCCTGCTTGGGTTCAGTCCTGGCTTGGCCATTTACCAACCAAGTGACCTGGGAAAGTTTAACAGGTGCTTATTGAGGGTCTGCTCCTTTCCAGGCACTCTCCTGGGCTCTGAGAACACAGTGACGACAAGACAGACCCTACCTTCATGGAGTTTATGTTCTAGTAGGGAGATATAACTAGGCAAACAACATAACAAGGTGGTTACACATTGTGATGAGATATGTTATGAATGACATAAACAGAGGCAGTGAGATAGAGTGCATGGGGATGAGGAGGGGCCTCTTGAGGGCACGACATTTGAACTGACACTTGAAGTCAGAGGAGATGGGCACGACTTAATCTCCCTGAGCCTTAGACTCCCTTCTGTAAAATGGGGACATATGAGCATATTACATGCTGTTTGGACGAGAAAATGGAGGTGTAAGTGACCAAATCCAGTGCAGGGCTCAGACTAAACAGTCAATAAATAAGAGGAAACATCATCACTATCATCACCATCACCATCTTCATCACCATCATTATTATCATCACCATCAGCATCCTTGTCACTATCACCATTATTATCACCATTGTCATCATCACCATCACCATCGATTATCATCCTCACCATTATCAACATCATCACCATCATCATCATCGTCACTATCACTATCATCACCATCACTGTCACCATCAAAACCATTATCCTCATACAGTCATCATCACCATCATCACTATGATCATTATTGTCATCAGCATCAGCAGCACCATCACCATCACCATCATTATCAACACTATCATCACCATCACCATCATCATGATCATCATCATCATTATTATCACCATCACCACCAATTATCATAATCACCATCACATCACCATCATCATTATTATCACCATCATCAGTATCATCATCATTATCACCATCACCACCACCATCATCAACATCATCACTATCATCACCATCACCATCAGCACCATCAGCATCACCATCATCAACATCATCATCATCATTAATATCATCACTATCATCACCATCATCACCATCACTATCATCATCATCATCATCACCACCACCACCACCATCATCAACATTATCATCATCACCATCATTATCACCATCATCATCATCACCATCATCAATATCATCACTATCATCACCATCATCATCATCACATCATTACATCATCATCATTATCATCACCATCATTATTACCCTCATTGTCACCATCACCATCATTATCATCACCATCATTATTACTATCATTGTCACCATCACCATCATCATCACCATCAGCACATTATCATTATCATCACCATCACCATCATCATCATCACCACCATCATTATTACCATCATTGTCACCATCACCATCATCATCATCACCATCATTAATACTATCATTGTCACCATCACCATTATCATCATCATCACTATCAGCACATTATCATTATCATCACCATCACCACCATCATTATTACCATCATTGTCACCATCACTATCATCATCATCACCATCATTATTACTATCATTGTCACCATCACCATCATCATCATCATCATCACTATCAGCACATTATCATTATCATCACCATCACCATCATCATCACCACCATCATTATTACTATCATTGTCACCATCACCATCATTATCATCACCATCATTATTACTATCATTGTCACCATCACCATCATCACTATCATCACATTATCATTATCATCATCATCAACACATCATCATTATATCATCATCACTGTCATCAGTCCATAGGTCACTTTGCTTTCTCTCCTGAGAGTGGCAGGGGAGGAGAGCACCTGTGGATCAGGGACTTGGCCATACGTGGCATGACAGAGAGCTAAAAGAGCAGTACCTGGAAAATATTGGAGAGGTCCCTGAGGTTGAAGACATAGTGAAACTTAATGGCCGTGGGAAGAAATGTTGTTGTGACTTTCTGATGCAGGGCTGTTATAGGAAAAAGACACATCGATTCTTACGTACTCTTAATGGCCTCAGGAAGCGTAAAGCTTAAGATATAGTTTCTAAAGCAAATGGACTATGAAATGGTGACCATTTAAGTAAGAAATCTGCACAGCTGAAGAGGGAGGAAGTTTGCTGCTCTACTGACGTGTGAATCGTTTCTGTATGCTGAATTTCCTATCCTCTGCCTCCCCTCAAGCAATCAGATTTCACAATAATCTCCTGTTGAAACATAGCATCATTTAAAACATATTGATTTAAAAGTATAAATAAAATATTTACCAGGGGAAAATCTGAAGCAGCCATTAGCCCCATAAAGCAGTAGGCTTTACTGACAGGAGAGGGGATGAGGCTGGCCAGCTTACCCAGGGCCGAGGCCACCAGCTGGCTGCTCATCCTCTGAACCACCACGGGGACGGAGCGAAAGGCCAGGTGCTGGGCCAGGATCGTGTTGTAGATGGTCGTGAGGGCGTCCTGGCCTGGGAAGCTCACAGCAAACACGCAGAAGTGGCGCTGCCCAGAACAACCACAAACCCTCAGCAGGCAGCTCTCGGGGTCCAGCTCATGGCCGGGGCCGCCTTCTCAGGGATCAGACTCTGTCCTCATCACCTAATGTCTTGTGAGCATGATCAGAATGGACAGTTTCCCTCCCTGAGTCTTGTCTGCGGTAAAATCCCATTAAATATTGATTATCTTTGCAACAACCAAGTTTACTTCATGCTCTCAAGAAAAATGTTGGCAGGGGCAAAAGCGTGTCTCAGAGCATAGGCCTGGGTTTATATTCCAGGTCTCCATCTGCTTAGATAATTCAAAGGTGAGGTCCTGCCTGGGTGGGGTTGCGGATATAACACAGGATATCCTGTTAAGTCTGAATTTCAGATAGGCAACAAATAATTTTTTTCAGTATAACTATGTCCCAGATATTGTATGGGACATGCTTATGATAAACAAATATTTGCTGTTTATCTGAAATTCAGATTTGACTGGGCATCTGTATTTTTATTAGCTAAGTCTGGCAGCCCTTTGGGACCCCGGGAAAGGGCTAGCCTCTTGACAGGCCGCCCCCCCAGAACTTCCTGACACATTCTGGAAGGTTGGGGAGTTCTCCAGAGAACGTCAGCCTGCAGCCCTAACATCCCAAAGCAATGCTGTTACTCTCATTTGCCAAAATGAGCCTCAGACCTGCGGCCGCTGACTGAAATGAGATTGATTTCTGCCTACCTGAAGTCTGGGGTCGATGGTGAAGGATCCAGAAGTGGGATTCATGCAAGCCACGTACTGACAGTTATGGACGTCCTTCAGCGTCAGCTTCTGTCTGTCATACCTGCACAAGGGAGACCAGTGTACAGTTGTGCCACCGGCCCCCCACCCACCCCCAAAGATGCCTTGCATATGGTTAAGGAAAAAACCCTCAATAAATGTTGATTGTATGTGAAACAGCCGATTTTACTTCATGCTCTCAAGAAAAATTTCTAAACAGAGTGGCTCAGCGTGCAGGGCTGGGCTCATACTCCAGCTCTTCCATTTAGTAGCATCAGGACTCTGGGTAAGCTGGTTACTCTCTCCTGCCTCAGTGTTCTCATCTGTGCAATGAGTCTCTGTAAGGACGAAATGAGCTAACACATGCAAACGTACTTGGAGGGTACCTGAAACACAGCAGGGGTGTAATAAATGTTTACCACCCCCCATGATCATTATAATTATTAATAATTATGATTATTATTATTAAATCGGCAGAATAATTTCCTTGATGCCAGGGCACTGCTAAAACATCCAGGGGCTCAGATGAGTTTAAAGGATATAAAGAGTTTGTGCATCTTTTCATGTAATTGGCCTTTGGGGTTTTTCCCCCATTATGCATTTGTTTCTCTTGGGGGTTGTTGCCTGTTCTTGCAGGTTTGCAGGAATTCCTTGTACACTCCAGATAGTCCTCCACTGTCAGTTTTAGACACTGCAAGTTTTTTCCCATTCTGTAAACTCTGTATGTATGCTTCCCCTTGGTGTCTCTTGAGAACAAAATCTCTTAATTTCGATGTAAATTAAAGTAATCACGTTTTGGCCTCTACTTTATGCTTCTAAAACTTGTGTTTAAGAAGTCCTTCCTTCCCCAGGTCCTGATACAATTGGGTGCTCCTGTGCCTGAGGCCAGCCCCACCCAGCTGCAATCCTCAGAGAGCTGACAAGAGACCTAATAGGCTAGAGGC